AGTAGTAGTAGTAGTAGTAGTAGCAGTAGCAGTAGTAGTAGTAGTAGTAGTAATTGTCCCATTTGCTGGTGGCTACTAAATGTTGACTATTAGGAAGAAGAATACTCCTGAAGAAGAATACTCCTAGTGGTAGTAGCCACTCCAAGGGGCAGTACCTTCCTCCAAGGAGGTGTTGTGGAGGTGTGACCATACTACTACTCCTCCTACTAGTATTATGAATATGACCTTGTTACTTTCTGTGTTTTTATGGTTTCTGAGCCTAGTGTTGTCCTGTAGCAATGTGGTGGCTACTACTAGTAGTAGTAGTAGTAGTAGTAGTAGCACCAGGCCTATCTTAGCATTACCACTGTTTCTTTCTTATTGCACTACACCAAAAGGAGGTGGCTGGGTAGTAGGAGTAGTATTACTACTATTGGGACAAATTTCAGTCACTTGATCCATACTATCTTACCATGCTCTTGCAAAACTTGAGATTGAGCAGACAAGTGGCTTCTTACATTTTCCTTTTCTCTACTGCCCTGTGCTCTGAACACTCCTCCCAGTAGCAGTTTTTAGCCTGTATTTCTTCCCTTGGGCTTATTCTATTTCTTCTTTGCCTGTCCTTGTACCACAAGCCACTATGCAACAATTATAGTCACAGCAGCATCATTGCTTCTGTCATACATTTTGAATGTATCTTTGTTAGTTTTCATGCTTTGCTCCTAAGATTAGTATTTGCAGAAGAAATGTGGTGACTGACTATTAATATGGCCTTAATTTCTTTGTTATGATTTATGATACGAGTGTGGTCCTGCTGCATAATTAAACAACAATGCCAACCAATGCCAACCAATGGAACAGAACAACAGCTCAAGATCCAGAGCATTACTATTGAAGGAAAGACCATCCTAAGAAGCAACCTTTCTTCCTTCCTGGACAAGGTCCTTGTCATTATTGCCAGTGAAAGAAAACAAAGACTTGAAGAAGCTACCTCTGAAGATCAAATTAATGACAAAGCGAGTTAGTAAAGTGGTTGACCTCCTTGATCAAGCTTTCAAGCATGATGGAAACTTCAGAGGACTGGCAAATGACCATCTGTCTGCTATATTGATGGCAGAAGAAAACAAACAGAGAGGCATCAGTGACAAGAGGCTTTCTCAGTCATCTGTCACGTTGCTGGTTCATAAGAAGAGGAGGAAGTCTATGGTTGAACAGGTGCCTCTTCTAGATCATGTACTTAAATATAACTTTAAGATGTTATTTCATGGTTGAAATGGTACTTGAATAATCAATCCACAAACATATCCCATCAATAGAATCACCTMCAGCAAAGAGACCAAGAAGAAGATCATGCACAAAACATGGTKCTTGAATAATCAATCCACAAACATATCCCATCAATAGAATCACCTMCAGCAAAGAGACCAAGAAGAAGATCATGCACAAAGTCAGCTGATAGCATTACAACCCAATTAGAGAATTACAATCAACCAAATGTAGAAGGATCACAATTTTGCTTGTGCAGCATTTACTTTACATCTAGTCCAGCATTAAAATCTTCACACAGGCCTCTCATGCAGATATTGAGTGAAGGAAAAAATGTGTTGGAAACAATCACACTCTTCAAAGGTGGATCAGAAAGTACAATGAGAAGAATCAACTTTTTCCATCCTGGAAAAAAGTTTCACTGGGATTCACTTGCTAGGCATAGTATCCCTAGAATTTCTGTCTTCTTGGTAGTCCTCTCTGGTCATGCTGCCCAAAACCTGGAGCTCAGGGGGTGTCACAAGGGCCATCTATCCAGTGACACTATAGATGTTTTCCAATAATTTGTTCCAGGAGAGATGAAATCACTGAGAATCCAATCGGAGAGGAATGGAAGTTGAAATATGATGGATAATTACTAGTACTTCCTCTGTCCAGTAGTGAGTTGGGTACTCTGTGACATTTTCTACTGTCCACACCTGAGGAGTGTCCCCTGTTTACTTGAGTTTTTTGTTTTGTTTTTGCAGTTGTCTTCCACAAATGACTGTGTAGAAAATGTAGAATCAGTACTATGATAGAAAAAATGAGTATGCGCATGAGATTAAAAATTATTTTCACACATAAAAATACACCCTATTAACAAGGCAAACACAACTTTGACAATGGTACAGTACACCTCTTTTGAATACCAATGGCTGATAAAATAAAAGTTCTCTATAATGTCAAGAATTATAGCCTCAAGAATCCATCACTCTCAGCTATCATGATGACTTCTAGAAGCCAAATGAGGGTAAGAACTCATTTATATGCCAAAAATAGCTCTGTTTGGAGGCATAACTTGCTTGTGCTGCTGGTAAGGCATCGAAAGGCAATGTACATTCAAATAGTTTTAAACAAGATTGATAGAATCAAATTGGCCATATATTGAGCTTATTTCACTGGAAAAGGTGCACAGGTACACTCGTTACTGGTCAAAGGAAACGCTAAACAATACTATTTTTACTACTAGTACTAGAACTACATCCAAACTAATACACATTTATAAGATCACACAGTCAGTCTTGGTTGATATAAGCATCATCATCGACGGAACGCTCAGCAAGTCTGAATGTATGGTATTTGCCTCTTATCTCCATCAGAATCTTGATGCATACGACAAGTACTTGACCAACTTTACCAGGGAAACTCAAGACTTTAAGCCCATTCCAGACCTCATGGAGTCCATCTATAACGAAAAACACAATGTCGTCATTCACAACATTTGTGAGTCCGTGACACTCCACCCCGAGGGACTTGCTGGTATCTTTCCAAAAAGCAAGTGTAACTCAATGTTACAGAAGTCTGATGAGCGAGAGCATCTCTTTTTGTCGTACACACCTACGAGTGGTTTCGTCGAACCTATCCTCCCACCCATGCGGACGCACAAGTTCTGTCAACCCAACGAAATATGTAAATCATTATGGATATCGACTATTTGGTGCATTATTTCGAGCACATGTGGCGAAGCCTCAAGCCCAACTCGTGCCGCATATTCATCGACATGGGGACTGCCCTCGATTGTCATCACGCGCAGAAGGTGCTGGTAGTTGAGCTCCATGATACGTACAAGAAGTATGGCTTTCATTTTGATCACATTTATGGATTCGGAATGGAGTTCAAAGATCCCGCTAAAGTTTTTGAGAGTAACTGCCGGAAAGTAACTCCATAGATACCATTGGATTGATGTCGGTGAGTATTCAACGTCAAATAATTATGTCGCAAATGAAAGATTGTCTGAAATGAATTGACTGATTTTTTTTCTTTTACTGAATTCATCTTAATATTCACCAGGTATTGCGAACGAGGAGGGATACCGATTGAATCCGCTGCACTCGATTCCTTCTAAGTTCAACGAGGACGACTTTATTGTGGTGAAACTGGACATTGACACCGGTGCCATCGAGGTTTCCCTCGCTCATCAGTTGCTCAAAAATCCCGCCTACCACAAACTCATCGACAACTTCTACTTCGAACACCACGTCAAGCTGGCAGAACTGTTGCCTTACTAGGGATTGGGCCCGACCGGAACCGTGAAGGAGTTGCTCGAATTGTTTCGTGGACTACAGGAAAAAGGGATTCCCGCACATTTTTGGCCATAATAAGACGACGAACTTGACAGCGATCTCGATTTCTACGAAGTTCTACAAATGAATTAAATAGTGATAATGGTGTTCATATTGTCACATGATATTGCCTTATATATTATCTTGTAGCTTGTAGAAGCTCACCGCCATGACAGCCTAGGGTATCCACTTCAACGAGTCACGAACAATAAAGTGAGCCTGGGATTTTTCTAATCTCTGTTACATCTTGAGAAATGAAGGCTTTTGCATTTGCATTTGCGTTTGCGTTTTCGTTTTCGTTTTCGTTTTCGTTTTCGTTTTCGTTTTCGTTTTCATTTGCGTTTGCGTTTGCGTTTGCAATTGGTTTTCCGAAATAGTTTAATTTTTGCTATAGTTCTTGGCAATGAAAAGACTGGGACCCACCAGAGCGCTGGCAAGAAAAGGCATTTCAAAGTTTTGGGGCTTCACCATGGACTCAACAAAGTTTTGACTGTGGCTTAACATGGTGGCGCTACTGACCGAGTCCATTTGACCGCTACTAGTAGAGGTAGCAATTGAGGTGTTTGAATCAGCGCTTCTACCGCTAGTTTGACTAGGTTTGTATTTTGAGCTGCTGGTTGAACTATTGGAATGGAATCGATGCAACATTCTGACAGATTCACTTTTCGTTACTGATGCAGTATGATGTCTCTGTTGATTATGATGATGCTCTTTGGTTTCTTTTGTGATTCGATAAGTGCTTGTTGACTTTTGTGAGAAGTATCGTAATTACAGGACACACATCAGATTTTAGATTTCGTGTCCTGGACTACACCCTAAAACACGCAGTTAGAGTACGTAGTTTGCTGTTATGATTCATTTTTCCACCATTCACACTTCGTCGGAGTGAGGAGGCGTATTTGTGAAATTGCTTTTCTTAGTTTGCATGCCGGTTGCAAGTCATCGCGCGCGAAGACATCGTGCTCCAGCAACGAAACGAAATGTTGTGTCACCAGCCATTCTACCGTAGTCCGTATTGTTTAGTACCATTACGTGCTAGCCGTACTAGAGCTACTAAGTACGGGCCCCATAACGGCAAGTTATTGGCAATTTCCGTACGTCAATTTTTTCTCATTTTCCCGTCTCTATTTCCCCTCTCCCCCCATCCACACAAAAAACTACGAAGTCCGCAAATATTTCTATTCCTGGTCCTTACTAGTGGGAATATCAAATCAGTGCTTATCTCGAATATYAAGGACCACCAATAGAAATATTTTGGGACTAGCGAGAAATTAAACAATGGAAATATTTTTATTTTCGTCCATTGGATGCCTTTTTTAACTGGTTTTAACTGTAAAAATGAGCTAAAAATTTCTATTAGTATTTGTACGGGGATTGCCAATAACTTGCCATGATGGGGCCCGTACTTAGTAGCTCTAAGCCGTACATTCCTACATCTTTCGTATTTTTGATACTGGTGACTACTACTGCTTTTGCTTTACAGTACGTACGCACGGTACATAAATGATACAGTAACACTGCACTGGTGTCGTACCGAAGTAGTACTTCGTACCAGGGGTCACTACTAATACGTATCGATACATCCATACGGTAAATAAGAGTCGAATCAGTCTGTTTTCACCCGAAACCTATTGTACCTCTCAACTCAATTCCATTATATGTATCATACATACATATCATAGCAGTAGGACGAGTAACGGTAACGGTACATCGCACAAGAGTACCGGGTGTACGAGTAGTATGGTCCATCGCATGCCATCCTATCTACCGGTGCATTGTGGTTGACGGTTGATGTTTTGACGCGCGCTGTTCTTCGATTCTCTAGCGAGTTTACGACGAGCCGTCCTTTTCCAATCTCGGTTGATCACGTGCATCACCGGCATGCAACTTGTTCAGAAAAACACCCGGGACGCGAGTATCGTGAAGAAATGCAAGTTCCTACCGTTAGTTTTCCTCTTTATTTTACTACTTGCGCACAAGCACTCATCAAATGAGGCTGAAACAGAAACTCCCCAGGCGTCCTAAAACCCCAACGTAACTACTGGTGCGAAGTGCTCTTCGCTGCAATTTCAGATTTTGCTATCGAACCATCACACCGTTTCAATACCCAAAGCTTCGTCGATTACCGTTACTACTAGTAGTAGACTAGATCTGCTGAAGCCAGTACACTCCGATCCGATTACGCTCCAGTTTAGCTTAAACCGCCCAGAGACAAAAGGAAAACACCAGCAACTTGATATTTTCTATCATGGCAAAGAAGAAAGGAAATAATCCGGCGAAGACAGAAGAGGAAGAGGAGGAAAAAGAAGTTGTCGAGCCAACCGATGAAGAGTTGCGAAATCACATCCGTCGATTGATTCCGCTGGTGAATCTACAGAACACCGGTGTCAAGGCTTTCACGAAATTACTCTCAAAAGAATGCGGTGGCGCCGACCTCAAGAGCAGGGGAAAGTTCATCAAAAAGGCCCTTTCGGAAGCTATAAACGAGATGGATAACTCTTCATCTGAAGAAGAAGATGAACCGAAGAAGAAGCCCCCCCGAAAGACGGGACTCTCCGTCAAGAAAGAAATATCCCTAGAGCTCGCTAACTTTTTAGGAGTGGAAAAAGACCAGCTCATGGCCAGAACAGAAGTTGTAAAGGGCATGTGGGATTATATCAAGAAGAATGAACTGCAAAATCCTGATAACAAAAAGGAGATATTTTTGGATAAGAAGATGCAGAAGGTGTTTGGTTGTAAATCCTTTACAATGTTTACCATGAACAAGTACCTGGGCGCGCACATTCATCCTTTCAAACCAGTTGATCTCACCACTAGCGCCAAAAAGAAACCTGCTGTTGGCTCCCGGAAAAGGAAAAAGAAAGGCGACAGCGATGATGTGGGTGGAAAAAAAAAACGCAAGCCTAAAAAGCCGGGTCTTCAGCCTCCCTACCGGCTCTCGAACGAACTCGCCGAAATTGTTGGGACCCAAATCTTGCCTCGGCCCCAGGTTGTCAAGGCGATCTGGGCTCACATCAAAAAACACGATTTGCAAAACTCAGAAGACAAGCGCGAAATTCTGTGCGACGAAAAGCTCAAGGCAGTCATGGGTGGAGAAGACAGAGTCACTATGTTCAGCATGAACCGGTACATTACAGACCATTTGCTGGAAAAACTCGATCGGTCTGAATATAACCATGATGAAATCGAAGCAGAATTGGCAGCACGGGAAGAAGGTTCTGATGAAGAAAGCGAATGAACGAGTACATGCCCGACTATGACGTTGATGACCAATCATATGATCTTTTTGTCTTTGTCAGCGAATGAGTCGTCAAACGCAACGTTTGTGTGCAAGCGCAGAGGGGAGCGCTCTCATAATTGTTTTGCACTTTCTGCAAATTAAACATGTTTTATGTACAGTATAATTAGCTTGAATTCATTGTTGTTCGCGTCATCAAAAAGATGACCATATAGCAGGAGGGAATTGATTAAGCCTTGTCGATTTTGGCCTTTTCTGATCGATGTTCGGTCTTGCTTCATCCCAGGAAAGTTGTTTCAACCAACCAACTACACTTCCTTGCAAAACAAAAAATAGCGGCAGTTTTCAGTTGATTTCTCCTCTTATCGTCATCTCGGCCTAGTAATTTGTAGATTTGTAAAACAGCTCCTTGTTGAAGCGCTGTTTTAAAAGGAACAGAAATGGTAGCAGCGAGAAAATAAGACATGCATGCAAACCCCTTAGCTTGATCTACACCATGCCAATCGACTGGAGAAGATCAGCATGGTTCTTAGATAATTTGTTGGTACGAAGTTTTCTCTTTTGGTCTCGAATCCAGTAGCCTAGCTGTTGGAGATCTGCGTCATTGTTACTCCATGGAACTACAATTGATCCATTGTTCTGCTCTTTAAAGGTAGCAAGCTGTTTGTACATGTCCATCCAATTCTTGGTGCTAGGATTCTTTTTCATCTTCTTTTTCTGAGCCTTTTCTTTCGCCATTCGTCGAAAGCGTCGATCAGAAAGAACCTTCTTCTTGTTCGATCTAGGTGATTTCAGCTTCGAAGACTTTTTGGATCGTAGCGATTTCAGCTTCAAAGACTTATTGGACGTCGGCGATTCCAACTTTTTTCTCTTTGGTTGCAAATCACTCGACGAGCCCTTGCGATTGATACATCCATCATCACTCTCTGGACAATAAGAAATGTCGTGAGAAACCTTTCTCTTGAGCTTTCGACTTGTTTCAATGCTCAGCGTGGCCTCGCGGAAAATAACATTAGTAGCAAGTGGGTATGGTTTCGGGGTTACAACATGGGGAGCTTCTGTTGCTGAGACAGTAGTGGGGACAGGGGATATAGATCGGTCAGTTTTGTTGGAGGTACTAGAAGTAGTTCGAAAAAGCGATGTTGGCAGTCTTAGTTCTTCTTCCTTGTAAATTGCATCACGAGGCATGGGGATCTGGTGAATTTTTCGTTCGACACAGCTTATGGTTTCATTGGATTCGATTTTATTGCCATCGTCAACTTGACCAGCACAGAGAACTCTATCTTCACGGTTTCCAGTATCTAAGGAGTTTTTTGGAATTGCAGGCTGTTTTGAGCACGAAGGTTTAAGGAAGGATTCTTGGTCCGATGATCTAGTAGCATATATTATCCATGGTGAGAGGGCAATGCTCATCATAGCCAACAGGGAGGAGGTGGCTGCAAGGGCAATGACGAGGAAGTCCGAGAGGTCGCTAGGGATCACTAATCGATAAAGCATTATAAAGGGATGTTTGTTGTCATCAAAGCCAATGTTACATTGATCTCATGGCAGATAATGGATTTCGACATGAAAATAACCTCTCCTCCGATCAGGATAGAAGCACAGTTTTTCTAAGATCAGGTAAAGTTTTTGTTGATAACTGAGAAGAAAGCTGTACTGATCGCATACGTAGAGAGTCTACTGTATGGGCCAGTCGGAACAATAACGGTCACAATTTTTTCTTACCGTTACCTCAATACAGCTTTTTACAATAAGGCAATATTGTAAATCGAGCACGCGAAGAAATTACGAGTACGTACCACAGTAACGTATTTTTCTAAAATCGTGTGGTGACGATCTATTAGTAGGATTACTGGTCACTCCTACCTGTCCCGTTGTACCTAGTACTTCAGTACGTAGAACTTCGTTGTTCATCCTTATTTTTAATTTTACTCTACCTGGTCACCAAACTCATCGTTCAAACTTGAAAATAATTATTCTAAAAATAGTGCCCGGCGGAGCGAGAATGATGGTTGCCATCTTACCGAAACACGGGGAAAAGTTGCTAACAACCTTCATCATATTTTCAGTACTAGTTGTACTGCAGTCTCGAGCATTAAGTGTTGTTGACAATCACGCATCGGCTAAGCTTGCTCGCAAACTTAGTAGTACGAGGCAAGAAGGCAATAGGAATGAATTTTCTCGGCGGGACTTCCTGGTCGTCGGAGTATGCAGCGCTTCATCGTCTACTCTTCTCTTGACGAAACCTGCGGGAGCCGCTGATGGCATTCCAAAAAGTGACGGAGACACCCGTGATGCACTCCTGTGTCACCCTAGCAAGGAGCAAATGGAAAGATTATCCGAGACTCGTGCCCAAATTGATATGGCTGTCCAGGCAAGCTCCGTTCAGGCGTTTCAATCGGCATTCGAGCTTGTCAACGATCCCTTACTAGATGCGTCCGCACTCTCAAGTTTATTAGAAAACCTATCGTGCGAAAACAATCCCTCTCTTTCTAAACGGTTCGCAGAGAAAGGAATCATTTCGGAATTTTTGCTAACGGTAGCGAAGATGCAAGAAACACTTGGCAGCGGGAGCTCTAAGCTGACTACCGAGGATGCCATGACTGTGATGCGCTATGGAACAAGCGCTCGATCTACGTTGGACTCTTTTTTCTCTTTGTATCCACCTTAGACTCTATTATTCTCTTCCTAAGAGTTGAATAGAGAATTTACAGAAGCAATAGGTATCTCATCTGCTTGCTGAACGGAGCGAATCGACAGTTTTTGGAGCTGAATACCTGCATCAATTATCGACGACAGATTTTAAGAGAGAGAGAGAGAGAGAGAGATATTTTAAAAAAGTAAAAAGCAACTAAAACTTGCTCGATGGATGATCTGCTTTGTGCTTTTTGAACGGCGTGACTAAAAATTCCGACATGGTCAGTCAAACCTGTTGCAGGAAAGCTCCACAAACAACAATCCATACAACTATGCCGTGTTGCGTTAAAGGGGAGCATAAGCAGCATATGGCTGACTTCAAGTGGACAGACTACGAGATTCGCCCGTTTGAACATCTGAGAATGACGAAGGCTTCTTTTCTACTACTGTAGACGTCACTATCGACGTCCTCTTGATTGATTTGTCCAGTCGATGATAAACTGTGTCAAGAACGAACCTCACTGCTGAATCTGCTGTCAGCCAGTGCCAATTAATCGAGAACAGTGTCACTACAAAGAGATGACGCGACAAAGAACTGCCGGTAGTTGTTGATGTCTCATTACGAAATTCTCTGTATGGTAGTACAATCATAACGCAAATACTGATACTGACACGAAGCGCACTTTGAAAACAAAGACTATAATTCGTCTATGATTTCATGTGGCACATACATACATAGATTCTAGATGCAATTGGCTGCTTGTTCAAATGCTATGCACGTGCGTTACACTTCACAAATAGAATTAACGATTGCTTTCAAAAACCATTACTTTGTATGAACCATTTTAATATCGGAACTTGTACACTATGGTAGGGTTCGTATTTTGGATCTAAGCAGTTCTTCTTAAAAGAAGTAGACACCAATCCCTTCATTGATTATAATCTGACATGAACATCAGAAGGTTCTGTACGGTACTTTCACCCTTCTTTGAAGTATTTACGTAAATTTTTTGAATCTATTTGTCACGTTCCCGCTTTCCCGTTTTCTGATTGCGGAAGGAAAAGAAAAATCGATCACAAAAGCTGATGCCGAAGAACAAGAAAAATACGATTACGTAGCATTTCTACTTATGCAAGAAACAGTGGTGTTCTCACTTGTTGACACAGGCGAAGAAGTGCATAACGGACGAACAATGCCGTACGATTTGATACAGTAATGTGCTACTCGTACTTCGTTCTACATGAACGATGGTGTCAGATGGCTTCACAGAAGGCAAACGAGAATCTGTAAAAATTCCGCCTTTCCTCGCCTATGAAGTTTTTGTCGAAGTTCATGACATCGTATTCCTTCTCTACGGGAACGAGGATTAAAAATAATTGTTTTCTTTCGGTCAAAAATCTTTCTGTCACAACCTTAAAAAAGAATACGAAATAATCAAACAAAATAAATCTTCTCTATTGATCCGTCAATAATCATCAGAAACAAGTCATAAACAAGGCACCAACATGTCGGATTCTGCACCACCAGAAGACACAGCTACACCGGCTGGTACGAACGAAGTCACCAAGGAGGGACGCTTCGCCCTGAAGCTCGACAAACCCGAAGAGCGCGGAGAATGGTCTTCTCGCCTCGCCTTTTACATGGCCACCATCGGCGCAGCCGTAGGATTTGGAAATGTATGGAGATTCCCCGGTCTTGCCGTCAAATACGGGGGGGGTGCTTTCTTCATCCCCTACGTCATGGCCCTTTTCTTGTTGGGAATCCCTCTTGCCATCCTGGAAATTGGATTTGGACAGTACTTTCAAACCGGTGACATTGGAGTCTTTGGAACATTCCATCCTCGATTGAGAGGAGTTGGGTAAGACGCGTGGTCCAAAAACAATTGTCTCGGGATTTGCCCTTCTCTATGGTTTCTCACCACTCTTCTTGCTCGTTCATTCATTCGTTTGTTGAATGTACGATCAGGCTTGCTTCTGTTGGATGCGGATTCATGCTCGACACCTACTACGTCGTCTTGATTGCGTGGGTAGCGAACGCTTTTTTTTCCTCGTGGGATGAAGATGCGCCCTGGGGAAACCCCGGGTTGTCTGGCAAAGAAGCCACCGACTACTTTTTCCAGGAGATCATCGGAATGTCAACGGTAACGGACAGCGGTCACCCCACCCGTTTGGTCGGACGCAACGTTGGCTTCGCTTTTCTATCCTGGTTCATAATCTTTTTGTGCGTCGCCTGGGGTGTCAAGTGGACGGGACGCATTGCCTACATCACCATGGGACTTCCAGTTATTCTTCTTTTTGTCTTCCTCGGCAAGGCTCTGACGCTGGAGGGAGCCTCCGATGGTGTCAAGGAGTACATTGGAATCTGGGACGTTTCGGTTTTGACCAGCCAGGGAGAAGTTTGGAGCGTGGCCTGTAGCCAGATTTTCTTCTCGATTGGATTGACGTTTGGTATCCTGACAGCCTTTGGAAGTCACTGCCCTCGCTCGGAACCCGCTGCAGCCAATGCTACCGTCGTGAGTCTGGCAAACTCTTTGTTTTCCTTTATTTCTGGTTTTGCTGTCTTTGCCGCTCTTGGACACCTTGCCTTTTTGGAAAACAAGCAACCCACTGACCTGGAATATTCGGGGTTTGGCCTCGTGTTTGGCACTTGGCCAGTCGTTTTCAACACGTTGCCAGGGGGCATCCACTGGGTCCGTTTGATCTTTTTCAATTTGTTCTTGCTGGGAATTGATTCTGCCTTTGCCTTTATGGAAGCCTTCATTACTGTCTTGCAAGATACCAGTACGTAATGAGAATCACCCGTGAAACGATTGCAATCGTAATATGGATGAAACCTTGATATGTGTTTGGGTACTTTTCTTCGATGTCTTTATCTAACAGTTGATAATCTTTCTTTTTCAACATTACGTATCTGATACCATGACGGCAACTGCAAACAGTCTTTTTCGAAAAGGTTCCCCGCTTCTGGATTGCAGCAGGTGTATCAATCATTGGATTCTTGTTCTCTTTGATGTACTGTACCGATGCCGGCCTATCCTTCTTGGACGTGATCGACTTCTATATCAACTTTGTTATGATCTTGGTCGGATTCTTCGAAGCCTTTGGAAGTGCATGGGCATACGATTTTCCCGGACAACTTGAACGCCAAACTCCTGCCGTGGTGTATTCGTTCTGGACGGCCAATTTTGGTGCTGTTGTGCTTGGTTGCATCTTGTGGTTCTCTCTCGATCCCGCGGTCGCCGTCTGGGCCGGTTTTGTTGGTTTCTTCGGTTGGTACTTTACCTTTGTGGGAGTCACCCATTTCTACATTACGAAGGTGCTTGCAAACGACACGGAAGGCAAGTGGACGATGAAGAGCCTTTGGTGGGATGTCTACTTTGGTAACATTCTCTCCCTCCGCGACCGAATGCAGGAAGTTATTGGATGGGTCCCCTTCCTTTGGTGCGTATTGATGAAGCACTTCATCCCCCATCTTCTGATTATTCTATTTATCAATCTGGCTACATCCGAGACCAATGAAGGCGAAGCCCTGCTTGGAAATTATGGAGGGTACGCAAACCTTCCATACCAAGTTTTGGGAATTTTGGTCGTCGCATTTACTCTAGTCCTTTTCGCGGGCGGCCTTGTTTTTCCGAATCTCTATGCCCCGCTTGCATTGCCTCAAAACGCCGAAGCCAAGATGGAACTAGAGAAATACTCGGGACCTGCTACCGACGAAGGAATCTCTGAGAAGGACAAGGAAGAAGGAGTTGTCGTCGAAGAGCAGCACCCCGAAAACACAAAGGAGCAAGAATCGGATGCTCAATCTGTTGAAAAAGAAGCTTGAGAGCACTCTATCGTTTTCTTATCATCTCGCCTCTATCACACATTTTTCACGGTGAGCGAGAATGTTCGATGGCCTTTAGGTCTGTTGTTATCTGTTGACGATTCTGAAAGTAATGATTGACAGTGGGTCTCTCCTTCCAGCACGTATACAGGAAAGGGTAGTTTCAGAAACAACATGGTTGATACCATCCTCGAACTATCTATTTGTTGCATGATTTTAGTTTTTTAAAGTTGAATTTAGTAATTCTATTAGTTATATATCATTTGAATGACATTAAACACAATGATAACTCCTGTACTAACTAGTAGTCTTTTCCGTAGTACGGTACGAGGAGTTTTCTTCCAGAAAAAGATCAAAAGAACTGCTAGTACCGGTACTCCTACTGTCTCTCAAAAACAGACCTCATTTCTTGCTACAATACCCTAGTAAGACTGCTATTATTTTTTCTGGAAAACGTAATCAATCGATGGATCAATAGATGTACCGTGCGTACCGGACGACACAAGAACGCTCGGATGCCGCGTGGAACAAAAAAACAAGGAAACTCGAGTTTCTGTCAACATCAAAAACGAAGGATTTGGTTTTCGGTTTTCTTGTTTTGCTTTTCCCTGTCTTCCGTAAACCCAATGGAAAGAGCAGCACAGAACACACAGAGCAGCAATCCGAGGCCTATTGTTGTCAAGAAGTACCACKGGAATCGGACATTGCATCGTCCCGGACAACAACACCAAACCACAACAAACCACAGCAGAGCAGCAGCAGCAGCCACAAAACAAAACAAAAACGCGTCGAACGAAACAAAGGATGGCCGCGATGCAAAGAATGTGCCAACAGCGAAAGCAGCAGCAGCAGCAGCAGCAGCAGCAACCCGTTCGAACCACCAAGGGGACGCCGTTTCTCGGAAGAAGCGTCCTCGGATCGACATTCTTCATGGCCGTGGTGTTTGTCGTTTCCCGGACGGTCCCAACGGCCCTCGGGTTTTCTTCCCGGGCCCCCCAACTCTGCCCGCGGTGCGCCGCCACCGCCCTGCACGCAACAGCAGGGGCGCGGTACCCCCCCATGTCCCGGGACGAGGTCCAGGCCGCCCTGGACGCCGTTCCGGTCTTTGCCGTCACGGAGCCCAACCAGGAGGGCCTCGTCCTGCTGAAAGAAAAGGGGAATCCCCGGGACATTGCCTACTTTTTCTTTTCGCCGCAGGCCGCCAACACCGTCTTTTCGCCCCTCCGAAAAAAGGAAAACGAGAGCAGCGGAGCGGGCGAGTGGAGCGTGTCGGCGTATCCCCTGGGCCTGGTGTGGTTCGAGCTCATCAACGAACCGGAGGAGGGCGTCGAGTACCGGTTGCTCCCGGAGCCGGAGGACCTGATCGGGGCGCAGAACCTGCTGCAGCAGCAGCAAAAGCAGTCGAACAAGGTCGATCCCAGGCTGAAGGACCTCTTCCAGAGTCCCTTCAACGAGGTCCCCGTCTTCGTGGACCAGCTTCTCCGGGTGACGTCGCAGGAAGGGGACGACCAGAGGGAACGGGTTCCGCTGTACCTCGGCCTGAGGGACCTGATGGACGCGGTGAACCAGGCCACGAAGGCCACATCGGGGGAATACCAGGCCGCGATAACCGGCGTCAACCTGAGGGACCTAATCGACGAGATGATGAGCGAGACCGGGAACGACTACCGGAGGGCAATATTTGTTCCGCCCTCGGCCAAGCCGGAGGCCGGAGAACCCGAGGGCAAGGAAGCGGCTCCCCCTGCTGCGGCGTCGTCGTCGTCCCCGGAGAGCGGCATGGATGACGACCTGGACGATTTCCAAAAGATCGTTGAGGGAGGGCGACCGTCCTTCAAGGCAACGAACGACGGACCCATCAACACCCCTACCGCATCCGACGACTTGTGGGCATAGGTAGACAAGGCTCGGATAATGGTAATGGTTTTTATGGTTGTGGTTATGACTTGATTTGATTTGGTTTGATTTGATTTCATATGATTTTTTACAGTTTATGTTACTCGTCAATGGTCGGTTCGAGACCGAGGCACTTCCCGGACTCGGTGTGGGTGTGTCGTGGCGGGTTAGGTTGGGTTGGGTTGCCCTCCGTGGCACAGCGGTCTTTCCTGCCTGCCTCTTGCTGCTCGGGCATCACTCGTTGGGGCCACTGGAAATGCTGCTAATGTCCCGTGCGTGGCTGGCCGCTCCCTTTCGGACCGTGTGGTTGTTTCCGTAGCCGTAGAGTTCGTTGGCGAAGCGTGCGTCGTCGAACCAGCAGCGATCCGCCGACGACGCCTGCTGGCCCGACTTGTTGTTGCTGTTGCCCGCCTTGCCCTTTTTGCCGCCGCTCTTGGGCTTGTCCTGGAACTTGGCCTTGACCAGGGCAAAAAAGGCGTCCTTGGTCAGGAGGGAATCGCTCCCCGCCTGGTGCTCCGCCCCGAGCCGCTGGCAGCCCAGGTCGTCGGCCAGGCGCTGCAGGCCGCCCATGAAGCGGTGTCCGTCGCAGAGGCTGGTCATGTACTTGATGTCGTATATCGTGGGAAAGTAGATCCGGAGAAGCTCGAAAAAGCCCTTCTCGTCGGCCGGCAGCTCCTTGGTCGTCAGGATCTTGAGCAGGTAGGCAAAGTCGTATCCCGCGTGGTAGGTCACCCACTTGACGCGGTCGTCGAGGACCAGTCCCGAGACCATCAGCAATTCCCCAAACAACTGCGGATCGATGCCCCGGGTGGCGTGGTCCGTGAAGCTGATCCCGGAGTGCACCAGCAGGTCGATCGAGTCCTGCGCAAACATGTCCCCGTCCAGATCAAAGGCAAAATTGAACTGCCAGCAGGGGCATTCCTTGCAGAGGTTTCCCTTTTCGTCCGAGAAACTCAGGCCGAGCTGGATGATTTTGAGCAGATCGACGTTGACCTTGAGCGATTTGTAGTGGTAGTCCGACGTGTAGGATTCCGTGACGGGCTTGGCCACCACACCGGGGAATTCCGTGTCCATCGAAACGTAGGGATACTTTTCGACGAGCGACCGAATCACGCGCATTTCTTCCTCGACGTTTTCGGCCCAGACATTGCGGATCTCCAGCGTCTCGCTAGAGGAGTTGTTTGCGTTGTCAAATGATTTACGAACAGGTGTAACAGATGCGGTTGTGCAAGGTTGCGGATGCGTTTTGGACCGATCGGGGATCAGAGAAAGAAGAATATGAGAACAAGAAAAGGACAATGCATGCGAGTATGGATTCGATTCGATTGGATTGGATTGGAGGGGAATAACCTCAGCTACAAGACTCTACGGAACAACGGCGTTTGCCGTCCCGTTGCGTCGTTTGTTTCGTTTTCTACAGATCCATATACAGATACATATAAATATACAGATACAGATACGTATGCAGAAACAGACACCGCACTCACCCGTTGTGCTCAAAGGTGTGCTTGGCCACCGCGTTCGAGTGGGCCGTGTTGGGGTTCGTGGGGTACTGTATGCGCCGGCGGACCCCGCCCGGCGTGGAAATCCCCCGGTTCGGGTTGTTGTTGTGGCTGTACGAGGGGGAGGTCGACCTCGACCTCGACCCGTAGGCGTTCGGCGGGGGGATCGGGGACTGCGAGTGGTCCCGCGCCAGGATCCGGTTCGGATTGAAGGGCGGGGACTGGGAGGACAGCTTGGTCGCTGCCGCCGCCATGCTGTCTCGCTTCGTTTCGTTTCGTTTCGCTTCGTCTAGCCTAGCCTAGCCTAACCTCTCTAGTCCAGTATCGTCTGGTCTCGCGCAAATGGGTGTCTCTATGTCTTCGCCTCGCGGGATTTGCTCGATTTCTCCAAGGTGTTTCTGTTTCTGCGGATTTTTTTGCGTGCCGTTTGTTTGCAACGGTCGTTCGTTTGCCGGACTGCTTCCTTCTTTCGTCTTGCGAGCAACCAAGGCCTTGCTGGTTGGTTGTGCTGTGCTGGGCTATAGCTGCACTCTGCTGCCGTCTTCTGGTTCCTTCCTCGCAGACACCAATTCGAACGGCTTCAGGTGCGAGGATCGTCGGGTGATACCGGTACAGCTAGAGCACCGCACCGTCGAGGCAATCGTGCGTGAGGTAGCAACGGTATCGTAAGTAGTACCGTACCCTACTCGTACGATACCTTCCCGGAGGTGGCAACCTAAATGTCTTCCCTTCCAGGACGACGGCCGAAGTGACAGCCAGGTTGGTGCCGGTCGCTGTACGGCACGTACCATGCGGCTTTCGTACACACTACATTGCACTCTACCGGCCGGTACACTACGAATGCTCTAAACGTACCCTAGCTACGCTACGCTACAAGTACGAAGAGTCGTACTGAAGGTACAGTACTCGTACGTTACCGTGAGTACGGGGGTTGTCGTACCGTACGAGTCGTTGTCTAACCAGCAGTAACGGTACGTACGAGTACCGGTACTGCGGTCGATCGATGAGAACTTTTGGCATGTCTGTTCGTTTTGTTTCTCGCCAGAATTTTGTTCGCTGGGTTGTGATCGTGAGGCCATACCACAATCACGAGTAATTAGTGAATAACCTCACTCGTTGTTATCGTACTACGGTACGTACGGTACTGTTGGAAATGGTAGTAGTACTACGGTGCCATTACTGTTGACAGCAGCAACACAAAATTTGAGACCGAAAAAACGAAAAGAGCCATTTGTTACCAGTACGTACTACTAATCCCAAAAAATATGTCTCGATAGACGATAGACTGTTTGACTGACCAATACAGGTACGTACCAACCGGACGGTACGTACATAAGAAAGCGAGTCTTCTTGATCTGAATGATAATTGATCACTTCTAGTACGTCAGACTGTACGTGGTACTTTCTATTCGACGATCCGATCTTACGTACTTTCTATTCGACAACCAAAATAGTGCCCTTAGGTCACATCGGATCGATATTTTTCTTAATGCTTTTCACCTTAATAAGTAGCGCTGTTTCTTTGATGCCTTGACATTTCAATACGCTGTGATAAATTTTGTGTTCTGGTATTGTTTGAGTACAAAAGTAGATGACCTATCGATATTTTTCTTAATGCTCTTCCACCTTCATAAGTAGCGCTGTTTCTTTGACACGGATAGAAATCAACCTTCTTGCCTTGACATTTCAATACGCTACCATCTGCTCAGCAACTAAAGCCAGGAATGCCGTGTGGCTTTGAGTTGGATAGTAATTAACCGTCTTGCCTTAACTTCTAAAGAATTCATCGGAGGAAGAAGCATATGATAAATTTTGTGTTCTAGTATTGTCAGAGTACAAGAGTAAAATAAGTAAAACTAGCAACGGTTGTCATTTCTTTAAGACGAAAATACAATAGATTTAATGTCATCCCTAAAGAAGGATCGCGATTGAGCACCCCTAGATTTTCAACGACCGCCACGTCAAGGGCTATAAAGTTTCCCTTGAGACAAGAATCAGAAACGGTTAATTAAATCTGGCCTGCGTCATCGTCAATCAAAAGAGAACCTACCTATTCGGTTTTATCAATGTTTTTGTTTCTTTTTAGAGTTTTCAAGTTCCAGAAGTTCCGTTACTACAGTGTTGTTCGCTAATTTTTCGTTTTGGTTTTGAATTGAACCTGAATTTTACAGATTTCCCATTCAAGTGCTAGGAAACCCGTATGAAGAAACTCGTTCTGAGAGGTTCCTGTTCCAGATATCTTCTCCTTTCATAAAATTTCTGTGAAATGAATGGCAAGAAGACAATGTCAACGACTGGAACAAAAAACAAAAGAAAGGAATATCGCACGAAAGTGATATCTTTTCACAACCACAGAAAGTCTCTCATTACCTATGAAGCATTTGTGTGGATTGTCTTCGGGATCACGACGACCCTTGCGATCATCGATCGCTTCACAACCAATTTCTGGCCTCGACAGATGTTTTCGATCGGACAGGGTTCTGCCGGCACCGATCGACTCGGTAGGTCCAATGGAAGTCGTGCTGCGTCAGATAAAAATTGCATCAATTACTAACACCATTGATATTTGTTTCGCCAATTTTTCCCGCACCACATCAGTTGGTTTCAAGCCAGGTCCTTGGTCCGTCGTTGCCTACGATGTCATCGCAAGGATCAGTGGACGGTTCTCTATCTGTGCGTATAACCTGCTCCTGATTACGCGGCTGCGCTGCCTAGAACACTGCATTCTCTGTTCAAAGTGGGTGAACAGAATGATCGACTGCTCCAACATTATCAAGGCCAACCTACGTCTACACAAATGGAACGGTATTGCACTTTGTGTTCTAACGTTTATCCACGTGTGGAGCATCTTGTTTCCGTGCGTCTTCCATGGATACACAGCCAAGGTCATACGTGGTACCTTTGAGTGGCCCCTATCGGAACGCCCCCCTCCAGGTTTCAAGGATGCCGACGCGGTAAACAAACAAATGGGTCTAGAGATCGATGATGTCTGGCGGATGGTTGAAATGACTGTCATGTTCTGCATCTTGTTACCGTTGAGTGTCCGCTGGTTTTCGACGCGCTGGCACATCGGAATGCCCCTGCATAGGCTCATCAATGTTCTATACTTTGTAGACATTGTCCGACGACACACCCATCCACATTCGTGGGTTCTCAACACCCCCATATTCTGCGCCTGGGTTTTCGATAAGTTTTGGATGTGGTATTCTAATCGTCGGAAAGGACCCGAGGTGCATCGAACCTATTTAGGTGAGTACCGTCTGCCTTCCCCCTTGCGGGCGAAGGAAGAGTTGAGCATTCCGTCTCGGTTGGAAACCGTCACAGGCGCCTCTTCACTTGTTTCTCTCTCACAAACAACATTTGCCCTTTTAAATTACTCGTTTTTCAGGAGAGAACTACATGGTTCTGTATTGGAAGCACTGCGAAACCAAGTTAGGTTCCTACGACGCTCTGGATACCCACCCGATTCTCTCCCCCGACTACTTCCTTCGACTCGACGATTCTTCTTTCTTCGAGAGCGCGCACGTCTTCACGTGCTTCGAGAACCGGACAAACACCTCCATCGATCGAAGCAGCGCAGGTTTGGAACCATTCGAGTGGACGGCCGGATGTGTCGTTCGTGTCTTTCGCAAGAAACGAAAACCTCGCCTCGGCGCCAAGGATCCTATTTCGCACACCGCGCGAATGTTTGACGTCCCTAAGGAGAACCTCGATGTTACAGCCTGGGGACCATACCACAGTGAGATGTCCGCGCACATCAAGGAATCTCTGCTGCGCAAGGATGACCGGCAAACGGTACTGATCGGTACCGGATCTGGAGTCGGATACGTTTTGGATGTCCTTCAGTGGAAGAAAGAATATGCACCAAAGAGACAGATCAAGATACTTTTCAGCACACGCGACGCTGAGCTTTTCAAATGGGTTAAGGACACAATTGAGCCATTTGCCATTACCCCAGAGATTACCATCCACCTGGCCTTCACCGGGACGCACATTGACCTCGAGGAAGATCGCATCGTCGCCAACAAGTGCGAAAAGATCGAATTCGACTTCGTGAACGAAAACGAGGAAATCGAATCCGTCAATACTTCAGTTAACGAGTCACCCACTACAGAACCCGTGAACGAAAACAAGGAAATGGAAACAATCACTGGATCCAATGACGAATCTGCCACTACAGTTAACGAGTCACCCACTACAGAACCCGTGAACGAAAACAAGGAAATGGAAACAGTCACTGGATCCAATGACGAATCTGCCACTTCATACCCCCTGAATGACACCAAGGAAAGTGAATCCATCAATGGATCCGGTAACGATCCAGCCACTAGAAACATCCTGAATGTAAATGAGGAAAGTGAATCCGTTCATGGATCCGATAGCAAAACAGCCACAACAGACCTCCTGAATGTAAACGAGGAAAGTGAATCCGTCAATGGATCTCATAACAAATCAGCCACTATGATCCTCGTAAATGAAAACAGGGAAATCGAATCCGATGACGAATCAGACACTACATATTACACTACTATGTCGAGACGAAGCTGCCTCACTACAGTATCGGGACAAAGCTGCCTCACTACAGTATCGGGACGAAGTTCCCAGTCCTCCCCCATCCAGAACGTGATAATTAGTTACTGGCATCATGATTTTGACAAAGAGATCGAGGAGGAATCCATCGTATTTTCTCAAGGAAGCCAAGGACTAAACGAACATGTGGCTAAAATTTGCGCTGGGAAGAAAGCCAAGTTTTACGGAGGACTCCAGTCCACCGAGCGCTTCGAGATGTTTGACGCCCTCATCGAATCAAGCCTCCGATCACTCAATTCGTTGAGGACTTCGATAAGGGGATCGAGCGTTCGATCGCTTACAGCGATGAGGCGCAGCGTGAAAACCATCAGACGTTCTTTTCAGGCCTAAAGAGTCTGAGATGTATGGATAAAATTTAATTGTCAGAAAGGATCTACAGGACCCGAAGCCAAGATGGGTACGAGTGCCACAATGTGTTGAGATACTAATGAGGAAGCGAGGTAGCGGACAGAATCTAAGCAGGTACACGTGGTTTTATTTTGTGGGATATGGTCATTCGTTTAGTAGTGCAAAAAGTGTTTGTGTCTCAAAGCTTTTCGGATCTAGTTTCTCTAGTCAGTCAAAAAAAGAAAATTCACAGCAACAGCCAGGCACTAGAAACTACATAACATACAATATTATATATATACTACTTCTACTGCAGCTAGTACGGTACTACTCATAGAAACTACAGCAGTTTTGGATGTTTAATTTTGGTGCTGCTACATACGATTAAAAAAGCATGAAAGTTTTTGAACAGGTTGAAGTCCCTTAAATAGTAGTCTTACTAAACTCTGGTGATTCTTGTTCTCATTGACGTCATTGTAAGACTATTGATACTGGTATAATAGAAGTAGATGTAGTACTTTCCTCCTCCAACAGATCAAAAAACACGCAATCTCTTATTATAACAACCGGCACGACACTTCGTCCGTCCATTGTATATCGCCTTTTAAGGACGCTACGGTGCCAAGTCATCACTGATGGTAGGACTATTTGGTTACATATTATGTTGCTACTATTGCCGTCTACTCGTCGTCGAGCTCCTCTTCTCAACTCACATCTGGTGATAGGTTGGATGATGAATATTGTACGAGCCATCTGGATGTTGTTGTTGTTGTTGTTGTTGTTGCTGCTGCTGCTGCTGCTGTTGTTGTTGTTGCTGCTGCTGCTGTGGTTGTTGTTGCTGTTGTTGTTGCTGTTGCTGTTGTTGTTGCTGCTGTTGCTGGCGCTGATGGTGTGGATACTGTTGTGGATGGTGCCGAAGCTGATTGTTGTTGGGTTGTTGGATGTGGGGATTGTGCAGATGCTGAAGCGAATGTTGATCGAACGACGGCGCAAATGAAAAGGTATGGCGCTGCTGATGTTGTTGTGAATGGCCATTGTTGTTGGTGGTGGTCCCATAATGCAAAGGCAGTAGCCTGCGGTTATCGCTGAGGTCTTGTGGGTGCCGGTTTGTGTCGAGAAATATGGAACCAGAATCGGCATTGCCTTCGTCGACCAAGTGATGGCCCAGGGTGCTGTTGACCGCCACCACATCAAGCAGTTTCTGGCGGCTTTTCCGCGAGCTGCTACAACTTTCTTTTCCGTTCCTGTTGTTGTTACTATTGTTGTTGGTAGATGACGATGGCCTCGGTCGTTTTCGCTTCAAGAATTTCTTTTCATCGTACTTTGCCTGTAGGCGATCGGTGTCTGCTTCCTGTGCCCATTGCTTCGTCCAGAAGGATTCGGCCTGGCGGGTCATTTCCTTTTCCATCTCGAGGGTTCTCGCCAAGAGATAGTCGCGTTGTTTCTCGAAAATAGTATATGGACCCTCTTCGAGCTTTGTGTACTCCAGACACCAGGCGGGAAGCATATCGGTGGTTTTCGCGACGTCGTTTTTGCGGGCCACGTATTCCTTCACAGTGGCCTCTTGCAAAAACGCTTCGGGGGAGTATGTCGGAGGCGGCACTCCCTTCMATTCTTTAGACGTTAGAGGGTCCCTGAAGACGGAAGAGGAGCGAAAGTCCACCACCCTCCAGGAACCGTCTGGAAGCGCCACGCGGTGCTCCGGATGAAAGTGCCACGGGGCCAATCGCAAGACAGATTCGGAGTTTTTCTTTTTGCTGATTTCGATGTCGAGAGTGTCGTTGTTGCTCCAGATCTCTTGCTGCAGCTCTTTTGGAAGCTTGTTGGCATCGACTCGGACCATTGTTGGGGAGTAGCCAAGCCCAACACAGGTTTCGTTTCCACACGAACACGGTTCCAATCTTCTTATCGTAAAAAGATCCGGGGATTCCTGTTGCTTTGATTTCCGTGCGTCGCTTTTCGCACCATTCGAATTAGTTGTCGTCACATACGGTCTTGTGTAAATATCCCCCATCAACAAATATCCCCGTCGTTTGAATTTGCTCCCATACATTTTCTGGGGAGCAAAGTAGAACCCATGACGGCAGCAAGATCCAGAGTTCCTGGCAAGTGCGGGATAGATGCAATCATCTCGCTTGCATTTGACAAGAGGGGCCTCGAGATTTGCCGTTCGCAACCAATCACAGGCCATCTTAAGTCCGGTCGCCTCGCTCTCGCAACTTTCGCGAAATCCGAGGGCATCCGCAAGCTGTGTGCAGGTTTCCAAGCTTCGAAAGCCCCAATGGGTGCTTCTTGGTGGTGCCCTGAAACCTCCTTTTTCCTCTTTCTTGTTCGTATCGCCCGGCGAGGATTTCGAATCGGCCTCAGCCTTCTTGCTTTGCACATACCGAAAGCGTTCGTTAGAAGTGTTTGCGTGCAGGTAATGACCAAACAGAGCTTTCTTTAGATTATGCTGCTTTTCGGACTTCAATTGCCTCCAGTAATTGACGAAGGCTAGCAGCAATGGATGATGTGGGTCATCGCTATCCGTTTCACACAAGAGAGCCATCGGAAATTGGAGTTTTCCTTTTCCCTTGAGAAGAGGGAAATGTTGTGTGTCCCTGGCAAGGCGTTTCCTCTGTTCGAAGAGCGACGTTTTTTCATCCTTCCCCTCTTCTTTTTTACCGTAATAGCTGGGAACTTCCGAATAGGGGTAGGTACGGAGCTTGGCCATATCGGCGGTATTTTCACGAAAGAAGTCGACATTGCGAACCAACTGTTTAGCGTGTTTCCTGAGATATCGAGCTATTTTTGCGGTCAATTCCTCGGGACTTAGTTTTGACCTTTGGGTTTTGCTTGTTTTTCCTGCGTCCGGGTTGTCCTTATCTATCTTGTTCCCTCTTTCTTCCAGAAGCAAGGATGTTCTTGCTGCTGCAATCTCAGATTCCGACTGATTTTCCCCACTAAGAACTTTTAGTGACGGACCTCGAAGGGAAGCAGAATCTCCGACATTATTCGACACTGGAACGGCACCAGGTGTAACGCCGTCAACGACCGATACCCGAGATCCCGATGGATTAACTCCATTTCCATGTACATCTATCGCTTGTGAGCTTGACGGAGGAACTTCAATGAGCGGAGATGGAAGATTCTGCATGCTTAAGCCTGGATCTTTACAAACTGCGTTTTGATTTACGAACGAGTCCGACTGATTTTTTTCTATGTCAGATATTGGCTTCGAACTCGGTGGTTGGCTTTGATGTTGCTGAGAGTTTTCTGCAGAGGTATCGTTTGGGTCTGAAATTGCACCAGGCGCATCGACGCAGGCAACATCTTTTTCATTTTCCGTTGCATCCAGATTGTTTTTATTTGGATCTTCCGACGTTAAATGATTTGGAGGGTCCTGCTTTTGCCCAGACGGCGAAGTTTGGGCAGTAGATTCAGGCGAGGGTTGAGCTATAGAACCAGAGAGAAGGTTTTTCGTCACAGATTGGTCTCGAGCGGCACAATTGATAGGGGGCACAGCTGCGTTGTCGTTATCCGGATTCGACAATGACACTAGAGTTGCGGCAGCATCGGTTGGTGTAGCAGCAATCGTCTTTTTTGCTGATCCGTCTTCGTTCACTTCTTCTCTCAAAAGCGCCGTTGGATTGTGGTTTGATAACGCTTCCGAGGCCATTACTCCTTGTTGCTTTGCTGAGCCCGAAGCAAACGAGTACGTATTACGGTAGATGATGAGTAACGATCTCAGATCTCAACAAAAAGAATCACAATGTCATCGAAGACTCCTTTTTTACGCTTCGAAATCTGCCAGCGCCCGTCCATCTGTCGATAGTGTGCTTCTGTTCTGAAAGTAGTCAGATACAGTAACAATCCTTACGTACGCTACGGGTTCTGTCGAGAACAGAATTTCAGCACGAACATTGCATGCTCTAGAGCCTTACGAGGACAGGCGGTCACAAGTTTCGCGAATTGTTCTTTTGATCACGTTCGTGACTAAGAAAAACGAAAATATGTCTGATTTCCTGTAAACTCCTAAATTCAAGAAATGGCGCGAAGAAAGAAGATAGTTCCGTTATGTACGTAGTTACGTAGTAGTAGTTATGACAAAAATACCTGTGATATGGCACATGACGTACGTATGATACATACATAGATACATACGTACTCATCGTACTCGTGATCTTACCGGTATGTAGAATGTAAGTACGGTAGCGTACTACTCTGAAGTACGAGTTACTTTTCTTTAAATTAATGCATGACTCTTCTTATTCTTATTCGTGCTTCGTCGGTGTCTGATGACCTTAAAAAGACCCTCGCAGAGATATGAGAAGGTCGTTTGTTGTTTGATGCGATCATCATCACGACCGCAGGGAAAATGGGAAAGAAATGAGAATACTGTGCTGATAACATACCCCGGTAGGAATCAATGCCCCTGACCAAACAATTCGCTTCAATATCTAAGTGCTCTCTTAGTGAACATTGAAGCAAAGATATTGCACTGCCGCTCCCTATATATACGAGAATTAAAACACGTTAATACGAAGAAGACCAAAGAAAATTTAGACCATGTCGTCTACTAGTGGTCGTCCAAGCCGAAGGCGGTCGGTGATATCCGGATTGGACATGTACAAGTGAGTACAAAGAAGATTGGAGGCGTTTGAAATGGATTGAATGCATTCCAAACAAAGCAACATACGTATTTCTTACAATATTATTGTTTCGGTTTGCTTTGCAGGAAAGTCCCCATCGATCTCATGGAAGGAACGAAACGAGGATCTGTTTTGAGTTGGATAGCATTATTAGCGATGGTGACATTGTTCCTTTACGAAACAAACGAATACTGGACGACTAAATTGGTCAAAGATTTGAGACTCGATCAGAAAGATCACACCGGCGACAAGAGGCTTCGATTGAATTTCAATATAACTATGCTCGATCTGCGGTGCGAGTGGGCCGTGGTCGACGTAGTCAGCGTCCTGGGAACCGACCAGAACGTCACGGCTCACGTCACCAAATGGGATCTAGATGCGGACGGGGTAAGATCAAATTTTCAAGGAAGGAACCGCAACCAAAAGGATATTGATCTATTTGACGAAACAGTGACGGAAACGATCGACGAACTGCACGAAAACGGAGAAGATGCTTTATCTCTTGACAAGGAGAGCTTGCATTTTGCAAAGGAAAACTTCGATTTTTTGTTTGTCGATTTCTTTGCGAGTTGGTGTTCACACTGTCGTGATTTGGCACCGACGTGGGAGAAACTTGCCGAGATAATGAACGATCACCACTATGACAACCTGGACGACGATTACACAACAAAACCAGAGAAAGCGAAAACTGCAAAAGATCACATAGAGGATTCCCAAAACAATAGAGACGACGATGGAAACTTCCAGCAAGTCGTAGTTGCAAAGGTTGATTGCGTAGAGCACAATGACGTTTGTAACGAGCACAACATCCAGGCCTATCCGACCTTGAGATTGTTTGTGGACGGTACCCCCTGGATGGATATGTTTGCCGAAAACAAGAACGAAGGAACGAGAAAATTGAGCGGCTCTTCGGACTACAACGGCCACCGGACCGTGTTGGAAATGATCGAATGGCTTCACTTCGTCGAGGAGCAGGTACGGGAAGACGACGGCGCCCGAACCCTGCACCTCGCGCACCAAGCAGCTCGCAATCGCCTGGATGGTGACAAGAAAGCCGAGGAAGACAAGAAGTGGAACGATCCGGGCATACAAAAGAAGAAGCGGCACCACCACAGGGTGCGAAAGAATTGGAAGGACGCGGAACACCCCGGATGCCAGATTGCGGGCCACTTGCTGGTCGATCGGGCACCGGGGAATTTCCACATCATGGCACGCAGCAAGCACCACGACCTGGTTCCAGAAATGACCAATTCGAGCCACATGGTCAACAGCCTGTACGTGGGAGACCCGACCGCGCTGCACTGGATCCAGGAGCGTCGGTCCAAGATACCGACCGAAATCGAACCGGCAATCACTCCCCTGGACGGGAACGTTTACACCACCGACGAGCTGCACGAATCGTACCACCACTACATGAAGCTAGTGGCGACCAAGATCGATGGCATGAAGGTTGGATCGAGAGAACTCGTCTTCTACCAGATGCTGGTCAATTCCCAGTTGGCGTACTACGAGAAGGACGTCGCACCCGAGGCAAAATTTGCCTACGATTTGAGTCCGATCGCCGTAAAGTACAGTTATCGTTCTCGGAGATGGTCCGAGTATCTCACGAGCATATTTGCAATCATTGGTGGGGTGTTTACCGTTGTGGGAATGCTCGAAGGCGTGATGCATCGTTTTGTCCCAAGGTTTTCTAGAAGCCAGGGACTAGGCTGACGTGCGAATGGAACGGCATCGAATGGAAAATTTTGCACAGCAAACGATTTGTATCAGAAGTACTTCAAAACAATATTTAAATTTTAGATTAGACTTTCGAATGCAAACACTTTGTTTTGTGTGCGGCCTTTTTTTACGAGTGCTACGATCGTCCTGGACCAAGAAGCTGCCAAACCAATCAGTGTCGGAGCACTGGTCGACAGAGCGGGCAGCACTTTTCCTCAACTTTTGGTCGAAGGTGACGAGATGCAGAAGCTAAAAGGCTCTAACCACAGTCCATGGCTTGAAACTATTCTGGAGAAGCACGTTCAAGGGTTCTAAATCGAGAGAACAATCGCACCCTGCTCGTAGTCGAGAGGTACGATTGAGATGTCACCACGACTTTTCTCTGCGTTCCTGTATGGATTGTATACAAAATCGTTCTAATTCAAACAGAGCAAAGGCAATCAAACAAATTCAATATTTCGTACAATAGTAGTACATACTGTTCACGTGCACCGACGCATTCGAATACTTTTTGTTAGTAATATCGAGATGTTACTACGGCTTTTGCTTTCTTCTTTCTTTTCCCATTACCCAAATGCAACCAAGCCGTGCGTGGATCCCATTCGGTAGCGAGATTCACGAGTTCCCCGGGTGTGCGCCGCACACGCCCCTTGGATGAATGGACGGAGGGATGGATGGATGGATAGACGGATGGGTTCGCTGCTCTCAGTGGGCCGACCGCAGCAGGTTGAGCGCCGCCCCGTGGTTTCCCTCGCGGAGCATGCAATAGATGAGGGCCTTTCGGGCCTGGGAGGTCCCCTCCCTCGAAGACGAGTAGCTGTTCTCCATGGCCTGGGCCGACATGGCCAGCTGCTTCGAGGCGGTCAGGTTCCCCAGCGCCGCCGTGGCGGCCGAGGCCGAGCATCGGACCATAGTCTGAGCCTTGGCGAGGCGGGCCTTGGCGTTGTGGTTGGCCGAGGCCATGCCGAGGGTGACCCCGCCCAGGTCGGAGGACAGGCGGTCAAAGGCGTCGTCCTTCCCGTCGCCCACCAGGACCTTCATGGAGGCCATGGGGTCTCCGAGGGAGGCGTTGGCCTCCGATGCGTACATGCGGGCGGTAGCGGCCTGCCGCTTGATCAGGATCCGGCGGGCTGATTCCGAGGGGTCCTCCTCCCCGTCTCCCTTCGTGCCCGGCTCGTCCGGTTTGCTGTGGGTCAGGACCAACATCGAGTACTTGAGGGCCGTCTTGAAGTCGTTGTCCTCCAGGGACATGTACGCAAAGGAGAGACGTGCCGATTGCAGCGCCAGGTCGTCCGGCTTCGTGCCGTTCTCGGCAAAGAGCTTCAGGGCTGTTTTGAGGGCCATCAGGGCTCTCTTTACGGCGTGGTTCCGGATGTCTTTCAGATCGTCCGGGGAAGCGAGGGCCGGGAGCTCCTGCTGGTCCGCGTTCGTGGCTTGGCCATCGGACGCGGTTTTCCATGTGTCTGTCAGGAGAATGCCGCTGGCCCGGCTGGAATTTGCGTTTGGCAAGTGGTTTGCAACACCATGGGCGATCGAGGCGATCGAAGAACGGAACGGAACGGAACAGAACAGAACGGACAAGCGTGGTTGGTAAGCAAGCAGCATCCGACACCGGCGCCACCGCAGCGTGCAAAAGACAAATAAACGCAAATCCCCCAGAGCAAACCATTTCAAATCAAACCAAACCAGAACGAAACCAGAACGAAACGAAACGAAACCAAAACCAAGACACCACACCACTCACCCGTCGACCTCCACCCTGGAGCACCGGCCGGAAGCCTTGGTCCGCTCGGCCCGCGCCCGTGCGTTGATGCCGATGCAGGCCTCCGAGAGCCGGAGCCAGGTCCTGGGCCGCTTCTTCCAGGACCTGGCCGTCGCGAGCCCGATGGCGTAGCACTCGTAGGCCGCCGGGTAGTTCCCGGACTTGAGGGCGCAAATGGCGGCGTTGTTGAGGACGTGGAGGGTCACGTCGGGGGTGGCCGTCCCGTCTTGCTCGAAGCGACTCCCGCTCCCGCAGCCCGCCCTGCGCTCGGTGGCGGACCGGACGGCCTTGGAAAAGGCGTGCAGGGCCAGGTGCGACTTGCCGCTGCTCTCGTAGACGATCCCGAGGTTGTTCTGGTGGATGGCCTCGTAGTAGTAGTTGTTGTTGTTGCTGCTGTTGTTGTTGTTAAAGGACTGGGCTTCCCCGCAAAGAATGAGGGCCTTTTTGAGATTCCCCTTGAGCTGCTCCGCATTGGCCTTGAGGTTGAGGGCGGCCTGGTTCTGGCTCTGGAGGATCCGGGACAGGCTGCTGTGGTTCTTGGCCAGGCCGGGAGACGGCGCCATGGAATGGAGGGCCACCGGGCTCTGCTTGCCATCGGTGGTGGCCGTTCCGCCGGAAGCACCGGCATTGGCGTTCGTGTTCGCGTTGGCCACCTCCTCGGAGTAGGACGAAAAGGTCCCCACCGAGGCCGTGTCGGAGCGCTCGGGCCGCAGCTTGTGCTGGAAGGTTTCCATCGCCTGCTTGAGCTCCTTGCGGGCCGACCGCATGTGCTTGTCGCGGGTGGCGGCGTCTTCCGTGGTCCGCTCGAAGAAGTTGACCCGCGATTGGTACAGGCTCAGCAGGAACTTGAGCTGCGGATCGGGTCCGCCGGTGGTGCTTCCGTGGTGGTGGGCATTGTTGTTGTTGCTGTTGTTGTTGCTGCTGCTGCTTTCGCTGGCGTGTGCCGCCGGAACGGGATGGGCCGGTGCCCTGGTGAGTTCCACGTGCTCTTCCACCCACGCCAGGACCGTGTCCAGCAGACCCAGGTCGAAGGAGCAGCCGTCCCCGGACCGGAAGCTCCGGCTGGTGCCAGTGCCAGTGCTAGCGTGCCCGTGGATCCGTGTGGGATAGAGCGCCAGCATCCCCTCTAGCACCAGAAACCCCATGCGGCAGGCCAGCTCGAGCGGGGGCTGCTTCTGCTGTTGTTGCTGCTGCGAAAGGCCCCCGTTCCCACCGGAGGTGGTCGATGCTACCACCGGTTCCAGGTAGGACCAGGCCAGGGCGATCGACTCCTCCGCTTCCCCCTTGGACAGGAGGACCAGCCCGCGGTTGAAGGCGAGGATCCAGTCGTCTGCGAGGGCCCTACCCCTGCTTCCTCCTCCGCTAAGATTTCTCGATGCGGTCTTTGCCACGACGGTCCGGATGTCCTCGAGGGACTCGTCATGGAGGGACGACTTCGTGGCCAGGGCTAGCAGCAGGAGGGCATTGTATTCGTCCCGCGGGCTCTGCTCCCCGGATCCGCCCTCCCCCACAATGGCACGGAGGGCGGCCTCCGCGTCACCCGAAGATTCGTAGACTTCCATTCGGTTTGTCGTTTGCTTGGTGTTTGTCGTTCGTTGTGTTTGGTCTTGCCGGAATCGATTCGTTTCGCTTCGTTTCTGGCGTGGTGATTGGTCAATCTCTCTATCACACACACACACACTCTCTCTCTCTCTCTCTCTCTCTCTCGGCTTTGGAGTAGTTCTTCAGAGCACAGGATTGGCACCGGCAGAGCACTCGTTCGGTACTACCATGTAGAAGCAATCCCGTCGGAGGTCGAAGGTCGAAGGCTGTGTTTGTTGTGCTGATTGTTGACGACGGTGATGGAGGCAGAAATTCAAATTCTCTGCCAGGAACAGGGACGGCGATGACTGTTCTTCCCTACGGTACCCGTACCGGCAAAACGAACCAATTAATCGCAGCAACCACCACAACGTAGGAGTAGCGTACGAACCGTACGGCAACGCAACGCAGCGCAGGCAACGAACGAGCGAAACGCTAGTGTACAGTACGTACAGTACCGTATGGACGGTATGGACGGTATGCACGGTATGGACGGTCCTACCGTGTGTTTGGGGGGACCACAGATTTGGGGGTCAAGAGTCATGAGCTCTATACGTTACTCGGCACGTAAGCCGCAAGCCGCGCGCCAGGGCAAGGCCCTCCCAGGCAGAAAACGGCAGATGCAAGGATTACGTACTGTACCGTACGGTAGTACTCGTAGTCACGTTCTGTGCTCTGTTGATATTTCTGCTTCGGAATTGTGAGTGACGTAATACCGGTACGTTCCAAACCGTACCGTACGTACGGCACGGCACGCGGGACCTTGGTGCGAGTAGATACCACATCGTACGTACGTAATCGTGGTACGGTGCGTACGCGCGATCGGAAACTGCGTATCCACCCTGGCGTGATTCGCCAATTGTCATGCCATGCCATACCATGCCATACAGTACATGGGACGAGGAGCAAAAAAGCAAAAAAGGAAGGGAGTGCGAGATTCTTTCAAATTCATTCTTTCTTGGGACTTTTCTCGCAGCCAGAGAGCACGATCCCGTGCGTACATGCACAAAACGCTGTGTGAGGGTATTTTGTACGGTTCGTACCGTACTATTTTGCACTCTGCATCGCCGCAATGGATCGAATCGTACCGTAGGATACCATTGCGTACGTACTGCTATTGCCCACCCACCCACTCCGAAGTTCTGTATCGGTTTACAGCACGAGCACCATACAGCACGAGTTACCGACCCGCCACCAGAGAGACAGAAATACGAGTACCCGCCGTAGCAGGGCAGTACGATACGATACCGTGTCGTGTCGTGTCGTGGAACACGGGCAACGAAACAAAGAACACCAAAACCGGGAATCACGACGCCAAACCTACGGATCCAGGGTGTTCCCGGATCGCCGCCGTGACGCCTCCGTGATTGCTTCGGAGCTTTTGTTTCGCCGGCGCCCCCCCCTCTCCGGACCGTCCTTTTCGTCGGGGAGTTCCACAGCCGGTCAAAACCCCAAAGGATACGAGACGAAACGAGACGAGACCTGACCAGACCTCCACCGCTGCCATCGTTTCCGGGAAATGAATCGGATCGGGCGTCGCCACACCAAACCCTAGCGCCCTTCTCTTTCGTTTTCCAGACGCCGTGACACGCGAGACCCCGCAACCGCCGACGCAGCGGGAACGAACGAACGAGGCGACGCGACGCGTGGCGTGGCGTAGACTGGAGCATGTTTCGGAACGGAGAGGGCAAGGGCGGGATCCCTTCCCGCCACAACCGGGCCGGGGCCCGGCACCACCGCAAGAGGAAATTGCCGCTTCCGGAGCAAGACGGCGGACCGGAGGGATGCCACCAGCATCAGCAGCAGCATCAGCAGCAACCACAACAAGAAGAACCCCCGGCGGTGCCCTGGAGCGACGACCTCCACAGGGAATTCGTAACGGCCGTCTTCCGGGTAGGAATCGACGAATCCTCCCCGGCCGTCATTGCGGAGGAAATGATCACCAGAAACAACTACAACTACAACTGCGAGAACAACCGCGACGAAAACCACGGCCACAACTACCACCGCGGCCCGAAGGGCGAAGGAGGCGAACCATTCGGGTCCGCAGAGGCCGGTGTTTCCGACGCAGGAGCCCGGGGCTCCGGCGTTGGCAGCAACAGCGGGAGGATTCCGGACCCGCACGGACAAAAGCACCGCCTCGCGGAGTACTACCGGGAGGCGATCACGGGGGAACGCCTCAAGTCCCACCTCCAGAAGCTCCGCAAGCAAAAGGACCGCGAAATTGCCGTCTTTGTGGGAGACTACCAGAACCACCTGGAGGGGGAGGCCGCTTCCGAGAAACGCCGCAAGGCGATCGTGGGGCTCCGGGAGCGGGCCCGGGAGCGCCGCCGCCGGCTGGGGGAGGCCCGGCAGAGGGCGGCGGAAGCCGCAATGGCCCGCGGGGGGCCTCCCCCCCCTACGGGGATCGACGCCTCGGAGGTCTCCCCGGAAGAGGAGGACCGGCTCCTCTCGCTCTACCTACCCCTCGAGGCCCCGGGCCGTCCCTGCGGAAGCGCCGAAAGCAGCGGGCTTTGGGGGGCCTCCCCGGTCTCCTTTCCCGCCGGGGGGAAGGCCGTCGGGATGCTCACCTCGGCCGTCCGCAGGGCCGAAGAGGCCGGGGGTGGCCCTTCGGCGCAAGAGCGGCAAAGGATGCCGTCCCCGGACTACGGGACCCTCCTCGGAGACGACGACGGCGAAAACCTCTCGGTGGAGTCGGCCACGAGCCACGCGGCGGTGGCCGCCGGGGAGCTGGCCGATGCCCTCGCGCCGCCCTTGTACCACCTGCGGAACACCCTGGGCCGGAGGAACAGCATCATCGACTGCGCCAGCAGCGAGGACGAGGGCGAGGACCACCACGACCGCTACCACCCCTTTGCCGAAACCTCTGGACCATGGAGCGACTGGGGAAGGGGCGACGGACACGAAGACAACGACAGGGACAAACACGGCACCGACGGAGGAAATGACCCCCCCGAGACCGCATCGATCCCGACCCTCACGGAAGCCGAGAAAAACAGCCCCCTGGGAGTGAGCATGCGCCTGACGTGGGACCTGATCCGGTACATGCACGGGGTCCTTGCCGAGGAGCGGGCCAACCGGTGCCGGCCGCGGGACCGGTTTGCAACGGATTGCCCGGATCCGGGGGGCAGCAGCAGCAGCAACAACAACAACAACAACAACAACAACAACAACAACAACAATACTTACAGTGGTAGCGCAGAGGAGTCCCCGCCGAAAAACCTGCAAGAGATGGAGACCACTCCGCCCGCACTTCCCTTTGACTCTCGTGCTTCTGGAATGGTATACCAGGCTAGGAATCAACAGGCTAACGACAATTATGAAGACAACGACAACAAAAATCACAACAACGGCATCAACAATGTCAATTACAACGTCATTATCAACAACAACATCAACAACAACATCATCAACAACAACAACAGTATCAACATCAACAACGATGTCAACAACGGCATCAAGAACAACACAAACAACAACGGAAACAACAACGTATACAACGGCATCAACGGCATCAGCAGCAACATCCAACACACCCATCACGGGTTCCAACAAATGAGCGAGAATTCCTTTCTGGCGACCGCAATGGCCGCGAACGGACCCCCTCCGCCGGCATTTATGGCAACCCTCGCCGGAAGCGTCGCTACCATGCTTGGTGGCGGAACCGAGGGCGGTTCCCTCCTGACGGCGGCGGATGCTTCTGCCGCCCGGTTCCCTCCCCCACCACGCTGGACCCATTCCCACCAGCGAGGAAGCGACCGGGACGCCAATGCCGTGGTAACACCCCCGAATCACGACTCTCCGTCGGTTGCCAACCCCCATCGTTTTTGACTTTTCCTTTTGGCAACGACGCAGACAACTCTTTTGACAACCGAAAAGGGTGTAGCAGCGGAAAAGAGCACTAGTGAACGCTATGTTTGGTTCTCCGTCAGCACAACATTGAAATAGTCAAGACAATATCCAATCTCACTGATAATAGTTCTCCGTGTGTTCACTAGGGTTGGAGTTGGTACACTTTCTTATTTGTTGGAGCTGGATTGCTGCGGAGGATTAGTTTGGACGCAAAACTTTCTAACGACACAGAAATCCTACGGGCGCCGACCAGAAAGCGAAACCATTGAAACATACAAAGACATTTCAAGCCATAGGTTCCGCCTCGAATATAGCGGTTAGTGGTGGTTGGATCGATCGAGAGGTCGGCAAGGAGCTCGCGTGCCAAAGATGGATCTTGCCTTTGAATGCTCTCACATCCGTTCGGGTGATTTTTCTAAAAGTTTTGGTCAATGGGAGGTACACCATCGGAAATGCGTGACTGTTGAATCGAACGATGACAAAATCATGAATAACTTCTTATTATTTTCTTAAATTCAAAATGCCTACGAACATAATTTGTAACATCTCTTCACTCTCTCTCGCTCAGGAAAGCTTCGCGCGCGAGTAAAACATCGACCAAAGTCGTTTGCGAAATGATCTTTTTTTCTCGGAAATTAGTGATTCCAAATAGTTTAGATAAGACATTTGGTCTACTCCCGGAGAAATTCACGCAAAGAGTCTTGTTCGGAATTCTGTTTTGAAACGACAGAGGGTGTTTCTCTTCATTGCCAATTTTTGCCACGCAATGCCCTGACTTGTTTAAGACGCGTGATCGAAATCGGAATTTGATCGGGAGTTGTTAGTATCCTTTTCAAAACCTGACTTTTCAGCAACAATCCATGGAAACACAATTGACAGTGGCAATCCAAGTCATTGCAAACGACCAGCTCTAGTTTGCCTTGCCGGATATTGTAGGCATCGATGATCCAACCTCTTTAAAAGGTTTCTTGGTGTGGCGTAGCAAACCACATACGTGACGGAACATCGCGGACCGTCGGAGAAACATTCCTTCCTCCGTGTGCATGCGTGTATTGCTCTGTTTCGTATTATTTCTCGCATTGTTTCAATCTACGTTCGAGAGCATATGGATGCGTGGAGCGGGTTGAACACCCTGTGCCACCACCCAGCCATTCAGGGGAGGCAGTGGGCAGTCGTCCCATTCGTTGGAAGGGGAAACGCGATAGATGTCGACGTCGCCGTCTCTCCCCGGTTCCTCTGCGTCTTCGGGAACGATCGAAATCCACCATTCTTCCTCGTATCGATAGAGTATGAGCGTGCGCAATTTTCCTTCGTACACGCCCCGCTTGCTGAACTTCATGGCGTTCTGAAACCAGCCCGACATTGTGTAGACGCCGTTGACAAACTCCAGACCCGCACCAGAAACCACCGGCTTTGGAACGTTCTGGCCGGACCGCTCAAACTCTATGGTTTTCAGCAAAATGGTTTCCATTACGATCGGCGATAGCTTTCGCAGCCTCCCCCGGAGCGCTTTTGAATCTGTGTAGAATTGCCAGCCACCCTTTTTAGTGTTGTACAAGGCGTCGATGCATCTTGTTTGGAGGCAGCTTAGGGCTTCGCCCAAGCTGCTGTTAACAATGTAGGGATTGTTTTTGATCGATTCAAGGCAGTGGTGCTCTTCTTGTTCCATCAGAAGGATGGCGACTTTTTCCGAAATGATTGGTAGGGCGTCGTTGTGGGTAAGTGTGCGGAAGAGTTTCGTGTCGACAAGAGCGCGGTGCGTTTCGAAAAAATAGGCGAGGTTTTCGCTCCATGTTTTCACGCTGGCGGTGGCATGTGCCGCTGGAACCGGGTGCATCTTTCGAAAGTCCCACAATCGGCACCAAAAGTCTGCGTCTGCCATATTGGCGAGTGCCGAGCCCTTTCCTAGGATCTGGGGTTCTTTGCTGCAGACGTACAAAATTCCATCTTCTAGATCCTGCATCCCCATGCTTCGAGACGATTCGTAGTAGACCGCTAGCCGGGAGCTCTTCTCGTTCAGTGACACCTTGGAATCGTGCCTGCAGATCCGGTGCATGTCGTTCCGGATGAAATTCCGTGCCAGGTTCTGTAGTGTTTCCATTCCAAAATAATCACTCAGACTAAGGATGGGAATGGCGTTACTAGGATTCAACTCGACCGTCTTCGTATAGCAATATTCTAGTACCATCTCAAAATGTTCGAGCGTTATGGTTGGAGACTCCAATTCAACGGTGCTCTCTCCTTTGATGTGTTCCGAGAACCCGCCGAGGAAGATTTTCTCAAAGTATTCGCTATGAATGCCCAAACACGATCGGTGGACTGAGTAGGTTACGGTGTTCGTAGTCCTCGTTTCCGTTGTAGCAGTCGCATCGGTGGTTACGATACTGTTCTTGTGGTCGACTGTTTGTCGCCGCTTGTCGTCGTCGACGTTGGAGTCAAGGCGGACGTGTATTTTCCAATCGGCGTACTTGGTGTCCTCTAGGTTTGGGGATTTCGACCAGTGCAGGCGGCGTTCCCATCGATTTCCGCCCTCTGTTCGGCGAATCTTGGGAGTCAACGACAGACCGCCGATGGGACCTTGGACCTCGTCCACCACGAAGAAGTTGTCGGTGCCATCGGTAAGCCGTCGCCTCTTTTTGTGGACGGAGCCTTCAAGAGAGTCTTTGGTTTGGTTTGAAGCGCCGCCCACAGGATTTCCGTTCTTAACAGCATTTTTACTAGTTGCAGCGACTTCTCCTGCCTGTTCGTGGCTTCTGTGAATGTCGCTGTTATATTCCAACATTGTTGTCTTGGGTTTATATGTATCGAACAAAATATTTGTGGTTTGCTTTTTTCTGCGTTGTGAAAGCGTCCTGGTTCTGTGAGTTGTGTTTGTGCTTGCGTTTGTGAATTTAGTTGTAAGGTTTGTGTTGAAGTTATAACGCGATGAACAATTTTTGTAACAACGGAGACCAGTTACCATTGAGAGGATGAACAATACTAATACTAAATTACATAGACATCATGAAGCGATGGGACATGCGATGAGATCTCCGTAGGCGATTCGCGTTCCATGATGGCGACGACCACAAAACGTACCGGTAGAATCTGATACAGTCGGATCGTGGATGATTTAGGTCTATCTCCAGTAGAAAATGCATATTCGTTTTCCTCGAACCTAGAAGAAGAACACACATTTTCCCTTGAATAGTGAACGTATTATATTATACCATCAAAAAGGGTACAGTATTCTGATCACCTTAAATAGAGTTATAATTAAAACATAACAAACACGAAAAATGTCTAGGAGAACTATAAGTAATAGTTTACAGGGACGATCATCATTGAAGATTTTATGTGTGCCCGGCGTGGTAAAATAGTCAGTGATGATCGTCCCAGAATCGATTGCCAGCTGTGAAATGGAATCTACCCTCCGGAGAACCCCAGTGAAATAATCTATCGGAGACCAACAGAGTTCTCTATCACGGATTAGGAAATCTTTGAAAGGCTTATGAAGGTGGTCTCCTCAGACCCGATTGTATTCTGAACATTCATTCAAACTTGGTTATTTTCGTAGTCAAAATATGAAATGTACCTCCAGGATGTAGTATGGCTTGTCTTCAAACAATTCTGGGCCATCTGTCGAAGACAGACATTTACAGTAGTGGTAAGTACTGTACAACTTATGTACCACCTGCCTGATTGAATCGGTGCTGAAAGCAGTGCAGCACAGGGGAGCGAGTCCCCCAATTTGCTAAAGGTGAGTTTTTACTACGGCTCCTACAGGGGTCAAAATTTAGAGTGCGCGTCGAAATATTTGTCCATCACAAAGCGCCAGAAAAAAAAGGAAACTCATATTCCACCTCTGGTCCAAATTACCAAAATACTAGTAAAACAGGATATGCATTGTTCTAAAACAATCGCCGTGCTCCTGCTGGTTGCTGCTACGATACTTACAACGAAAGAATCAAATTCGTTCATTTTCAACCGGAAAAGCTATCGAATTTTGTACAAAAAGACTACAGTTATGAGCAGCAATAGCGGTGACAACAAAAACAGCCTCGTATCCTCCTGCGACACAAAAGAGCCAGCCTTTCCAAATTGCCTCCCGAAGGAGAGACTGGGTACGAGCCACGGGTCGTTGGAAGCCTTTCATCAAGCAGTTGGATCGGCGACGCGACCCGCAAAGAAAACTAAAGAATATACATTGGTTGTCGTCACTGAAACTGTTACAGTACAAGAGACGCAGCATAAGCACCAGCGAATCCTTTTGGGAATGAAAAACCGTGGATTCGGAACCGGTAAGTTCAATTCCTTTGGTGGAAAATTTCTCCACGACGAAACCGGTGATAACGAAAGGGAGTCCGTCGAGGAATGCGCATGCCGAGAATTGGAAGAAGAAACGAACCTCAGGATTCCCATCAAGGAAATGATTGAATCTAGGGTGGGGGTACAGCGGTTTACCTTCGAGGACAACGATAAGGAAATGCTCGTGCACCTCTATTTCCTTGATCTGGCAAACAGTTTCGGCGGGGAGGGATCCGCTGCATCCTATGAGGTTCGGGCCTGCGACGAGATAACTCCCCAGTGGTTTGAATCCTTTGATCAGGTGCCATTCGACAATATGTTTGCCGATGATTCCCTTTGGTTGACAGCCCTGCTTTCGGCTGCGAGATCAAGAGCATCGAATCCATCCTCTGCCAAGCCATCGCGACTGGAACCTCCCCTGCAAATCAATGGATCCTATCATTTCAAAGAAAATTGTGAAGAAACCAACACCATACTTCATTACCACATGGACATTCAGAGTCCAAAACGAAATTGAGAGCGACTTGATGCGAGAAAACAGTGAACGATATTCTCGAACAGACGCTCTCACGCTCTCCTGGTGCGGGGTCTCTTTGGCTCTCGTTTCTGCTCGAGGACACAGAGAGGGCGCTTACTGCAAAAATGACCTTTGAACAGAACACGACGCTTCGTTCTTTGGTTCGATACTAAATCACAATCTTAGGAAATTCCCATCGATCACGATAGGTCTTGCTCCTACGATAAATTTTCTGAATTTGGTCTTGCTGTAACTATAAATCCCATTCGTACGGAAATTGGCTGGCCGCGAAACGAGGTCTCTTCGATGAAGAGAAGCTTCGATGGACAGCCAGCCTAAAAATTGGTTCTACGGAACCAACCGGATCGGAACACGCGATCGTCTCACTCGAACACACAAAGATTCATTTGGCGCGCAAAAACACGGTAGATCCAGAAACTAGGTTGGCACCGGAGGAAGAGGTGGAAGACGGTATTATTACACATTCTCTACGTTCTCGTGGGTGGTCCGACCGTTTCGCATCGGTCCGAGCCGCCGCCGATCCACCAATGGCGGGCACCTTCCCGCCTGTCTGAGTGCCTAGCTTGCTAGCTAGCTTCCGGTGGTCTTGGCCGCCTGTGCCGCAGCCGCCGCCGATCCACCCATGGCATCGAGGACCACCCTGACCTCGCCGAGCATCCTCAGGACCTGTCTCCGCAGCTCGTCGACGCCCACGCCGTCGTGGATGCTCAGCCGGATGTAGGGGTAGTTGTTCTCGTTTTCCGCGATCAGTTCGTCGAGCTCCTCGATAGCACCGTCGACGGTTCCGAGGTCGATCTTGGACACCACGTCGATCCAGGGCCGCCTCGGGAAGCGCTGCCGGATTTCTCGGCGGAGTTGGAGCTGGTCCTCGACGCTCGAGCACTTGTCCCCGGCCTGCCCCGACAGATCCATGACGTACATGACCGCCGTGGGCAGATGCGTCATGGCCGCCAGGGTCAGTTCTTCCATTTCGTTCCGCTTGTGCTCTTCCTCCTCCGGTCGGACTAGTATCCCGGGGCTGTCCATGACCTGGCAGAGCTGCGAAAAGGCGTACCGGCTGTCCTCGCCCTCCCGGTCCTTTCGGGTCATGAGGCCCTCCCGCCGCCGCTTGGCCTTGCTGGATCGCGGATCCTCGTTCTCGGGTGGGACGACGGCGCGTGCGACCTCGTAGGACTGCCCGGAAAGGCCTTGGTCGTCGCCGGATCCGTCGGAGGCGTCCTCTCCGCTGGTTGCTGCTCCCCCCACGACGTTTTGCCAAAAGACCTCGACGTGCCCCAGGGTCATCCCGCGGGTGGTAAAGGGATAGTTGTTGACCTCCGGCGTGGCCGAGGAGATGGTTCGGACGATGCTCGACTTTCCCACGTTGGGTGCCCCCACCAGTACCACCGCGGGGGCGTCCAGCTCGACGGCCGGAGCGCTCCGGAGGGACCGCTGCAGGTCGACCATGCCGGCCACCGGCTGGAAGGCAAACTCGTCAAAGAGGTCCAGGAGGGCGGCGGTTCCGTCCTGCCGGGCGGCGTTGGCCTCCCGGGCCGTCTCGGCGTGCTTGCACTTGTAGATCCATTCCTTTCCGGCCTCCAGGATCATCTTGCGGGCCTCGTGGATTTCTTCCAGCAGCACCTCGAGCGTCAGGCCGTCTTTCTTGATGCGGGCCCGGACCGTCAGGTCGGCCACGGTGGCCTCGAAGGGGTGGAGGCGCCGGAGCTCCCGGCGGTACCCGTTGACGATGTCCCGGAGGGGGACGCAGAGCTGCTGCATGAGCGTGTTGATGGTTTCCGATCCGTGTTTTCGGGCGCGGTTGCGGATGTTTTTGGTTTTCTCGTCGGCCTTGGTCCACCCGGCTACTTTCTTGGCCCTGTCGGACAGTTCCTTGGGTCCCTTGACCACCGGCAGGCGGCGCAGGCCGCCGGTGTTCGTCCGTGCGTTCTTGTTGTTGTTGCTGCTGCTGCTGCTGTTTTTGTGGTTGTGGTTTTGGTTTTTCCCGATCGCGTTCCCGGTGTCGCTGCTCCTCCGGGTCGAAAACAAGGCCGGCGACGCAGAAGCCGGTGCACTTGGACGCTGCGAAAGAGCCGCCGGTGTCGGGATGCCGGCCCAAAGCGGGCCCGGGCGGTTCCCGAGCAGGCGGCAGGGTCGTTTTCTCGAGGCGAACGAGGCCGTCCGCGGGCTCCGGGAGATGGCCTGCGGCCGAAAGGCCCGGACCATGCCGAGGGCCCCGGACGGGCTCCCCCGCGAAAACATGCCGGGGGCAAGGGACGACGAGGGCGATAGAAACACCAGCACCGTCGCGATTGTTGCGAGACCCGCGCGGAGAAAAGCCGACCGTTTGTGGGTGGAAACAGATGCGGGTACGGATAGGGATACAGGTACGGATACAGATAAAGGTGCTTCCGCGCTATTCCTCGCCCGGTGGATGCGAGCCATTCTTTTGGTGCGTCGTTCCCCGGTGGTCGGAAGGACGGACTCCCGTGCCTGTTTTGGTGTGGTATCGGGCTGTGTTCAGCTTTGGTTTGCCGCGAACCCTGTTCGGCGGTTGGTTGGCTTGCAGCGGACAAGAGAGCCTGCGGAACGCTTGTGCTCTTCGGTATCGGGAGCAAAGGATACGGTACTCAAATGGGTTTTGTTTTGGTTCGTTTGAAACTCGGACACCTAGGAGTCGATTCGGTAAGAGATTGGTTGTGTCTGTGATTGCGGTTGTGGTTGTGTCAGTGTCAGTATAGTGTCTATCGACGATGGATGCACCCGGTGCGATCTTGGTTGGTGCTTCTGGCTGCTTCTACGGTACAATAACGGAAGCTGCAATTCTTTTTTTCCTGGGCTTGGTTTGGTTTGATGGCAGGAACCAACTCAGACTACGTACCGGTACCTACCGTGTGTATTGTACTGTACAGTACCGTACAATACAGTACTGTACAATCACCCCTTCGATTCGATGTTCAGTTTGGAAATGTCGCGTCGTGATAAATGGAGCTGGTGCCCGGTCGTCACAGCCATCCATCCCGCAGAAAAAACCGTGGGTGGTGCAACATACTTTAGAGTTAGGGTTGTTGCTCCGGGTCCTGTTTCGCGTCTGGCGGCCGTCAGCGGGCTGTGCTTCTTGGTAGCATAGTATGTTTAGTACATATGGTACCATAGCACAGCCGTTTGCCGCTTTGGGATGCGGGAGACCATTTTTTATGGTACTACCGTACATAATAAACGTTACGTACTTTACGCGTACGTTGGAAAAACTGAAGCACGGCATCGGATCGATTGATTGTGGCGGGGCACAGTCATTCTCGTTTTTCTCTTCTGCCGTTCCGACAAGCAACGAGTCTCGTATCGTAGGGCATAGTAGGGTACGGTACGTACCCGTAGTACGAGGTCGTATCGTACCCGGTCTCCTACCGTTGCTCGAGTTGCCCCGCAGAGCAACAAACACCACCCCTCGCCATTGTCGTCGCAGATCCCCCACCACAGTGCTTTCTACTTTTGCGTTGCACCGCGTCCAATCAGCAGCAGCAGCAGCAGCAGCAGCTCGCCCTAGACCGCAGCGAGGAAGAGCCGGAGCGACTACAAACATACCGCACGCACCCGTTTCGTTTCCGTGCGAAAACCGATAGCCTACCGTATCGCACCCTACCCTGCCTGTCTCCAGAACACCAGACACCCCAAACCCGTCGCCGAGATGATGGCCCAAGGAGGAAGACGACCCTGGCAGTCGCACATCGACATGTACCGCAAGATCCCGACCGACCTGATGGAGGGAACGGGCCGCGGGTCGATTCTCTCGTACCTCTCGCTGCTCCTGATGGCCGTCCTGTTTCTGTGGGAGAGCAAGGCCTATTTCACCTCCTCCACGGTGACGGACCTGGCGCTCGACAAGTCGGACGACCGCTTCCTGCGGTTGAACTTCAACATCACCATGACGGATCTCAAGTGCGACTGGGCGGTCATCGACGTCGTCAGCGTCCTGGGCACCGACCAGAACGTCACGGCCCACCTCACCAAGTGGAACCTCGACGGGGAGGGCGTCCGGAAGGGATACAAGGGGCGCAACCGAAACCAGAAGGACATCGAGATGTTCGACTCCTCGATCGAGGACACGCTGGAGGATCTCCACGAGGACGGAGTGGACGCCATTCCGATGGACGAGGCCACCCTAGAGCACTACAAGAGGAACCACGACTACGTCTTTGTCGACTTTTTCGCCAGCTGGTGCTCCCACTGCCAGGCCCTGGCGCCGACCTGGGAGGTCCTGGCGGAGATCATGGCCGACGCCAGCGCCAACGCGGTGGAGGACAAGCACGACACGGAGCACGAGCACTTTAGCGACGAGGAGTACGAGCACGCCCTCAAGGTCAACCTGCCGGTGGTCATCGGCAAGGTCGATTGCGTCGTCCACAAGACGCTCTGCAACCAGAAGGAGAACATCCGGGCCTACCCCACCCTCAGGCTCTTTGTCGACGGAAAGCAGTGGGAGTCGGGTTCGGACTACAACGGACACCGGACCATCATGGAAATGGTCGATTGGCTCAAGTTCATGGAAGACGAGCACAAGTCCCGCATGGAGAACAACGGAGCCGTCGGAGAAGCCACCCGGAAGCTGCACGCGGCCCACGACAGTAAGTGAAGCAAAACGAAGCAAAGACATGCGATGCAATGCGATGCAGAGCAGAAATAAGCAGAGCCGGTCTAGCTACCGCAGCAGCTCGCGGCAGGAATCGCTGCGGGCTTTGGGTCGGTGTGCCGCGAATCGCATCGGGTCTCACGCGTTTGTCTTTTTGTTCGTTTTTTGTTTGTCGATTGGTTGCCAACGCTCCTCCGCTTGTCTGGCTTTTGGTATTTCTCCGCTCCGCAACGACAGGTGCGAAGGAATACATGGAAATCGAAGACTACGACAACCTCCACGGCTCGGGAAACAATCAGAAACGGACCTACTACGAGTGGAAGGAAAGCGAGCACCCCGGCTGCCAGCTCGCCGGCCACCTCCTGCTCGATCGGGTCCCGGGGAATTTCCACATCCTAGCCCGGTCCAAGCACCACGACCTGGCGCCCCACCTGACCAACGTGAGCCACCAGGTCCACTCGCTGACCATTGGGGATCCCCACTCGGCAAAGGTGGTTGCGGACATGGCGGGCACCAACGGCATCCCGTCCGACGTTTCGTCGAAGATCGCCCCCATGGACGGCAACGTGTACACGACGCACAACCTCCACGAATCCTACCACCACTACCTCAAGGTGGTCTCCACCCGCATCCCGGACAAGAAGGTCCACGCCAACCGAAACAACGGGGCGAATGCCTACCAGATCATCCCCTCCTCCCAGCTCGCCTACTACCAAAAAGACATGGTCCCGGAGGCAAAGTTCGTCTACGACCTCTCCCCCATCAGCGTCACCTACCGGGCGTCTTCCAGGCGGTGGTACGAGTACGTGACCTCGCTCTTTGCCATCATCGGGGGGGTCTTTACGATCATCGGCATGGTCGAATCGACCATCCACGCGACGGTCTCCAAGGCCAAGCGGCGCAGTACCGCGAGCAACTACCCGCCGCAGCGCGCCGATCCCAATCGGTATTGAGGTGTTGCATTGGAGCGCGGAAGCACAAGAGCAGAACCGTAGAACCAATAACAATGCGACCGCCGCAATGCCAAAATAGGTCACGCAGTGCAAAGAATTTTTGTCATTCGAATAGTACATACTAATAACAATAGGAGTGTCATAGAGAACCTATTTTGATTGTCGGTTCATTCAAAGGAGCAATTCGCAGACCATCGGAAGCCCTTGCCAACCAAAAAATAGAACTACCGTACACTGTCTCCTTCCAGGAATCCTACGATTTCCACCACCAGGACACTTTCGTAGCTAGTGCTGGTAATACTGATTAGAATAGGTGAAGCAACTCCTTCCTTTCTTCCTGTTAAAAGAGAAAATATTGTTTCGAGCATCATGACAGGAGATTTCAAAAACACCTCCATCCTGACAGGTACTTTCCTCAGGACTCCTTAACACCATCACTTGCTATCATGCAAGAAGAAGCATACAAACAACATTTTCTGTTTTGGTTGTGATTTGAGTAGTAGTACCAGGATCTCCAGTGACACAATGGATTCTTCATTCCACTGAGTTGTAGGAAAAAAACAAACGAAATAACAATAGTAGTACTAGCTACTACCAACCTGTTCGAAGGTTATAGTACTCTGCTTGTTAATTCTGGTGAGAGCATGATGAATGATGTCACCAGTAGAACAACAAGGAGAAGTTTTGCATCAAGGATGAAGGCTCGTCACAGAGAACATTTTTTTCTCAGGATGTATCATCTTGCTCAACAAAGGATCATACAGCATTACAAGTGACATTTTCCAGATGATATTACTAGTAGGAAATAAGGTTGTGCCTCCACGAAAACTCCTTGGAGGGAGGCACTGCCCCTTGGAGCAGCTACTAGGAGGAGCTTTCTTCTCCCAGCAAGAAGTTAGGGCAATGACCAACATAATGCAAAGTCTTCAAGTTCACGAGGTTACATATCATATTATGATGATGCCCATTTAGGATACAAAAGGTGTAGGCAAGGGCATTGCATTTTTGGCCAGCAGACCATGAGCTGCTCTGGCTTCTTTGGTCTTCATTGAGTTTGATAGGTGGGCGGTGCCATCCTCCAGCTCCTCTCCTATCTTCTTATTTTTATTGTAATGATGACACAGCAGGGAACAACAAGCAAGAGCAAACAAGCAAAATTACATTCCTCCAATTTTCAATTTATCTTAGTAATCTGGTTTGTGCTAATAATAGCACCAGTTTCATTCTCTTATGAATAATGTGATTTAGAGCAACAGGCCACTGACTCTCTTAGTGCACTTCCTGCTGCTCTTTCATTGCTAAGAAGAGAGGTTGGATTTTTTGGTCAAGGGGTTTCAACAGATAGTATTCAGAGAGAGTGAAAATCATTGCAGGGCCAATAGATAAATTACCAGAACTAGAAAACTAACAACAGTAACTACTTGATAGCTAGCCTGACCTGGGGTTGTCTAAATTTCTGGAATAGCTGACTATGCATCTCCATAATCTGCAGCAAGATCTAGTACTACTAGTAGCAACAACAATAAAGTAACCATTATTCATTATAGTAGAAAAACTCAATGCTTGGTTTCTGACTCTTTGTGTATTGCTAGTTAATAGTATTCATGATACTACTACTAGTTAGTAAAAACTTGGGTCCTCAACAAGGAGGATTTGAACAGAAAGTGTATTGCTGGCCACCATGATGTAAGAAATAGCATGTGTCGAGAGGGAGTAACAACTTCTATTTGTGTAGCTCATGAACAGGAAATACTGTTGTGTTCAGTACTACTAGAGTAGTAGTGTGTATCTTAAAAGTTGTAGAACGCCACAAGAACTCCCATTTGACTGTTTTACTTGTCCTCCTTCAACAACTCAGGAAGAAAGAACCTTACTGCTTGGAGCACCTCAACACTTAGAGGCAAATGATATTATCTACTACTATTTCTTAAATTACTAGTACTAATAGAAATTCAAAATTCCCATTATGACTAGTGGTTATCCTTTTGTACACAGGAAAATGATTTCCCCTTGACTTTCCCCCATCTCTACTATTACCTCAATATCTCTTTTTGGTCAATTATTTTGTGAGAATTTTTAAGAGACGACAATCCCATGATAATATGTACTAGTAGTACTAGTAGAAGATGACTGCAATACAGCAGCACTACAATCCTACTACAAATAAGATTGGGATAGAAAATTAAAAACCATTTCTCTTCTCACCACCATCTCCTACTATCATTCAATTATTCTACCATACTACTAGTAATCTACAGACAATTTTAACATTGCATAATACAATGAAATCTTACTACCCTCCTGCACCCCCCTTGTGTTGGATAGTAGCAGAGATGATTTTTTTACAATGGGGTGATATGAATCTGCCTGCTACTAGTAGTAGTACTAGTGTTAAGAAGTACTACAACAAGAAGTGGTGGTTGTCTTGTCATTCTTGCTTGCAGTCCCTATAGTACTAACAATAGTAATACTAGTTATATTTGAAGTACTTATTATACTACAAATTCCTCAACCATCACAATTTCTAAGTTTCACCTTATCTTAGTATGCGATGAAAGATGTTTGGAATATTACCAAGCAGGGTGCCCCTTTACACATGATTAGTTGATGACAATGCAGCACATCATAATTCTTAATATGAGGACTGTAAACAAGCTCAACAGGCAAAAGTCATGGTGATGAAGAAATCAATAAGTAGTAGTAGTAGTAGCATACCAAGTGGTGCAAACATCTGCTCAACAAATGATTAGTAGTAGTAGTAGTAGAAGCAGTCGAAACAGCAGGAGGAGTTGGTAAGAATGCCAAAGAAACCTGGTGCTTGGAAGTTAGACAATGATTCAAAGATAGTAGATTGAACAAAGTTCAGCAACAGTGTTACTACTAGTAATATACAGCACTATTCTCCATCACATACTGCTGATAGTAGCTTTGTAATTTGTTCTGGTTCTTCTTGGTGTTGTTACTAGACAGAAGAGTGCTAGTGCTAATACTAGTAGTAGTTCTGGTGCTGATGGTAGATTTGTGCTCCAACAAAATTTCCACCAGCCTAATTCTTGTTCCTTTTCCAGGTACTAGTAGTAATGTGTAGAAATCATAATAAAATGGGATGATAAGGTTTCAATCTCATCTTGGCAACATTGTTGTATCTACTAGTACCAATGAAAAAACTGCTGAAATGGTGGATTCAGAAGCTCCACCACAATCTTGTAGACAAGCAGGAGACTGCCAAGGTGGCCTCGTCCTCCAACACCATAATGCTGTGGCCAGAGAATGGCATCAAGTCAGTGCTGAAGCCCTGAAACCAAGCTCAGTGGTGACTGATGAACCTTGCATACCATCATATTGCCCTACACCTGAACCAGGCAATTGCCAGAGAACCCCCCCCCCCCCACCACCACCACCACCATGAGATCTTTGAGGTGATCTGGCTGTGCATGGTTTCTGGAAAAGGGGCACAACTGCAGTCTTTGACATCACCCTACTAGTACTAGTCACTGGCACAGAGTCTTCCTCCGGTGAAAAGAAGGCTTCAATGCAGGTGCTCCAAGCCCAGTAAAAGCAAAAGAAGGAGAAGGACAATGACACCTATCACCAGGCTCATTGTCACTTCACTCCTGCTCTTGTGTACTATAGTATGATAATAGATGGGATGGAGAGCCCAGAGGAAGTTGTAGCTTGAAAGAAGCAACTTATTGTCTCCAGCAGGCTTGCTTCCAAGTGGGGAAGAAACTACTCTCCTCAAGTACAATGTGGGCTAGTCAGCAGATCTAGAATTGGATTTGCACTTGCAAGAGCCACAAGCAAGCAGATGTTTGAGAGGCACTCACATTGATAGGATTTCCCACTCCTCTAGTGTTCCACCAGTGTACAATTCCTATTACGAGGAGGACAATACTAGATTGTTCTGTTTTGTCTAGTTTTTTTTTCAGGATTTTGACAGTGCTGCTTTTGATAGAGTTCTGGCCTATTTCCTAACCAGTAGCGGGTCTCCACTGGCCAAATTTGGCCATACCAGCTGTTAATGGAGAACCAGCTCCCCCAAGACCTCTAATCGTCGTGTAGTAACAACAAGAATGACACACAACGACAACAATGACACATGGCGCTGTTCCCAACACTAGCTATTAGCTAGTAGGAACAAGAAGCTTTTCCCCAAAGAACAGCTCCTCTCAGGTCATAGTACTGGAGCAGTTCTAAATGTACTATTACACTGTTTGTGGTAAAAAAATGACCAAATACTAGTAGATCGATGTAGGATCAGTACTAAATAGTGGGCTTCAAAATGAACACATGATTTTACTAGTAATAATTTTTGGTGTTTGAGTAGAATGCCTTTTTGCCCTGTAGGGCGTGGTAGGATTCTACGATTAACGCATTTTATATCGCTTAAACTGGTACGGTACCGCAAAGTGTACAAGTATATGGACGGATGTAGTAGTTAGTAATGTACTGTTGTGCGCTGACTAATAACTACTCATAACCTGTTAGAATACGGTAGTCTTAATTCGAACCTAAACTGGTACGGGGTACATACAAGTACTTACGATACTCTTACGGAACTCCTACTGTCCCCGAACAATATTTGTTGACCGAACCATCTTTGCGGGACCTCTCAGCATGGTAGGTTACGAACGAAGAATGAGGGAACCTCCGATACAAGGTGTACGCGGGCGGTATCAAAGCAAAATTATTGGCGGAATTACAAGGAATGTTGAGCCATCATGGCGGGCTCCGAGAATAGATTCTTTGAATCAACGCTTGCTTGCTACTCTGATGATATAGCTCTTGTTCTTTGGTGCCGGCACTTTTTTATCAATTAAGGAGGCATATCTTCGAGGAACTTCTGAGACTTAAGTAGATTTCCATGTGACGCTATTTCGTGTGTATGTTAACCAAACAATTATGATAATTGAGCACGAGCTTGAAACAAAGCGCATCGTCGCGCGAAGTACCGTACAATAGAAGAATGAACGTGGACATTTATGATTTGCGTTTAAGGAGCGATGGGAATAGAAATAAAAAAAATGATAGTAATGGCCTTTGCATTGAATCGAAGACCGTTGGAGAGCTCTAGATAGAGAAGGTGACGAACAGTCTGATCCCCACAACGTATCTACCTCAAGGTTCAGCGGAACTTCAATGAAAACCAGTCACTTGCAAGCGATAATCGGGAAGATTCGCACGTTCTTTCCAGTCTTTCTTCACATTAGTCTTCTGATTCTCTAGGTCACGTACAATTCACTATCAGAAATGAACAGAACCTACAACGGCGAGCGAGGCAACCACCCGGGCATTGAGCAGAAAAAGGACACCACAGCATCACCCCAGGCAGACCATGCTGCATTGGCCACAGCCCTAGAAGAGGCACTTCATGTCACCAGGAACGGTAGCTTCGATCCCGAACGCGGTTGCGACTATCGCCCGGGTGGTACAGATCTGAGGCAGAGACTGGAAGAGCGGTGGAACGAACTGGTCTTGGCTACTACGGGCAAGGCCAAAACCGAAGCCACCGATGGTTGGTTTCGAACCCTCTACGAGAAACACACGGAAGCCGGAAGGTACTACCACACCGCGGTTCATCTCTGGGAAATGTTCGAGCTGCTCGACATCGTTGCCAATGCTTGCGTGAACCCTTCTGCTCCCGGATGGTATGTTCCGATGGCCTGGGCGGTGCTCTTTCACGATTCAATCTACGATCCCAGGTCGAAGCGAAACGAAAAGGACAGCGCTGAATTGTTTCGAGCCTTTGTGCACGCTGACAAGGCAGTCGCCATGGACAGTACAACGTGCAACGCCGTGCTGACAATGATCCTGGCAACCGAGAAACACCAAGTGCTAGCCAATGGCCGGGAGGAGGACGAATTCGTGGCGATGCAAAAGCACTTTTTGGACATTGACATGGCGGTACTGGGAAAGCATGGCACCGCCTATATGAAATACGCGGCTCTGGTACGCAAGGAGTACAATTTCGTCCCTCGAGATGTCTATTGCAGCGCCCGAGCCGACATTCTCGAAAATTTTCTAAGTGAGACCAGCAACGAGAGTGGTACCACCACGGGGGCGAAGCACGTGTATCTGACAAATGCATTTCGGGAGGCCTTCGAGACCCGGGCGGAAGACAATTTGAGGGAAGAAATCAATCTTCTTCGAAACAACACAATTCCAGAATAACACTGAACGGTCCTTGGGCTAGCGGAGAGGAACACGGAGATGAAAACACATCAAGGCAGGTTGTTGTAGCGAAAAATACAGAGATACAATGGGTTCTAGCCTGGTCTATTGTTTTGTACATTGGATTTCAGTTTTGGGGATTCGAGTGACAGCTACATGTACATATCCATTCGTCAATGCAGCTGCTCTGATTGGGCACAAGAGTGCTGTGGCATTGCGGACTCTCTCTATTCCCCGAAGAAGAAATTCCCCGTCGCTTCGCCTTCCGGTGACGAAAGTGAATTGCCATATCGACGATTGTGAGTTACAGGAACGAATACGTCCGGTTGAGCTGGCTGTTGGTGAAAGTCTCCACCGCCAGCATTTTGCTGCTGCTGGTCGTTGTATTCGGTTCCCATGAAGTTGGACGACTCCCAAAACTGACCATTGATGTCATTCTGTTTCAGTTGTTGCTGTTGCTGATCCTGGCTGACATGACCCTGACTCTGACGTTCGTTGAGAGCGTTGTCGATAGGGCTGGCTTCGTATGGACTGGCAAAACGGCTCGCCTCGCTTTCTGAAAAGGGATCACCCGCCGGGCTTTCAAAATCTTTGGCATAAGATTTCGATTGTCCAGAGGATTCGAACTGCCGGTCATAGTGCTGCCTTTCATATTGTTGCCCGTGGTGTCGGGATTGCCTTTCCGAAGTTTTCGGTAGGGCGTCGTCGGGGTGCATGGAGGAAGGGCTTGATTTGAATTTTTCGTGGCCTCGGGACGATCGTTGCACCGGAGACGAGGAGGTTCTTTGTGGAGCCTTATCGGGAGACGGCATTCTGGAAAGGCGATCCAGAAAGTCTCTGAAATCGTCGCGACTCTTCCTTGGCATGTTGCGGGTATCAACCGAGCGATTTTCGCTGTGGTGATCTCTTGTTCGGCGGCGTTTCGATCGCCTCTCTGAACGTCTTCGGTTACTTGCATCGGTTGGGCTGTCGCCGCTCAGATCGAAGGTCCTTCTCTCGCCTCGGCCTTCGTTCGAGTGCGACGGAGATTGATCGTACACACGCTGTTGCTGATGCTGTTGAGAACTGCCAGTCTGTTGCGGATACGAAGGTTGAGGAGGGGGTCGATTATACTCTGTGCTGGGATTGCTTCCATTGACGGTAGGAGCCATGCCACCTTCGCCCGTGTTGCCATAATATGCGGGGTATCCGGCCACACCGGGGTAGTAATTTGGTTGAATGGGAGGAACCCCTGGATAAGCCCCAACCTGCCCCGGAGGCGCTTGCTGATAGGGGTTAATTCGGGCATCTTGGGTGTAGTGCATGGGATGAGCGGCGAACGCCACTGGAGCTCCAAATGCAGGAGGAGGAGCAGCAGCAGCCTGTAGATGAGGAGGAGGAGGTGCGCCGCCATAGAACGACGGGGGTGCATGTGGATATGGCAGAGCAAATCCCGTACCCACGGAAGCCGGAGCAACCGGTGCCGGATAAGGTGGTGGATATGCTGTTGTAGGTCCTCGATAAAATGGATGACCTGGAGCAGCAGTGGCTGTGGCGAATGGGCCGGTCTGCTGCGTAGGGACGGCAGCAGTCGCTGGGTCCTGATCTTTGCTGAGAGATTTGTTAATTTGTTGTTTGTTATTAGCAGCATTCCCTTCGACGTTGTCTTCCTCATCTTCCGAATATCCGTCCTCGGAAGAGCAGCTTGACGAGGAATCTGATTCTTCGTCTCCATTTCCAGTTTTGTGAGCGGGAATGGGGGAGATCCCGTGGCGTTGCTTTAACAACGCATCCGTCATGTTGTCAATAAGAGATTTTACTTGCAAGAGGGAGGCGCCGACCGAGGATCTTTTCTCTTCTTCCGACATGATTGGGAATTCCATCAGCTTAGCAGCCTTGTATTGCAATTGGTCCGGACCGTGGCTGGTACTAAAGTTGTTCAGGACGGAATAGGACAGCAGCGCGGCGGCCTTGCCACCAAGCAACTTATTGGGTTTCTTTCCTTCCAATGCAGTCGTTAGAACGGCCTTTGGGATTGGCTCCTTATGATTTACATTATTTCCCTTTGTGTCGCTGCACGCGCTGGGTTCCTTCTCGTCGGAGGACGGAGAGATGCAGTTCTTACGATTGAGATGGGCTTTGGCTTGCTCGATAGACTTGAAAAACACATCATATTCCTTTAGGAATTCGGCCCTGCCTCTCTCCTTCGTCTGGCGATACTTTTGGAGGTGACTCTTGGTTCTTTCACGAGTTATGTATCTCGGCTGCTTCCTCATATTCTCCATGATGACCGAAGGGGAACAATTCTTGAGGCCGATTTCGAATATCGCCGCAGCGAAGGCCTTGTGCTGTTCCAATGACCATTGTGGCGGCTTGTTTTTTGTCACAGCAAGCATGTTGTTCGATGTATCACAATTCTCGTCACCTCCGGCGTTATTTTCGGCCTTGATTGCGGCAGCTTTGTCACCGTCGGTATCATCGGCATGGGTGCTGGGAATCTCCTCGTCGTCATCGAAGTGTTCGAGTTGCAGTACACCATCATCTCCGCATTCGAGGCCAACAGAGTTCAACATATGCACCGAGACTTTATTCTTGTTTCCCGAGCTATGGCTGTCCAGGCGTGAACTGTAGTCTTTATTCTTGGTAGATCCATTTTGTTTTGCCAACCCCGTACCGCTGATCAATCGAGGAGGAACGTAATGGTTGCTTATGGAAGCAGTTACGACTGTAGGCGGATGGCATGACATTGCCATCAGCGTTGAGGCTGACGCATTGCTGGTCACCTGAGATCTTGAACAGTCCTTTATAAACGCGTCGGTACCTTTGTCGAAGCGAGCTCTTTTTCTTCTCTTCGAGCGAACGTGAGCTTTTGAAGCTATGTCGGCTATAGCATCGAAAGCATCACTACATGTTGTTTCATTACCGTCCCTGTGCCCCATTCCCTTTTGTTTTATGGTGGCCTTGTCTTTAGATTCAGTGGCATTCGTTTCGGCCTTGGCAACCACCGAAGCTGGTGCTTTCGAAACATTTTTCGCACCAGCCGTATTAAGGCTCTTCATAGTTGTTGATGAGGCCTTTACGGGTACAGTAGGTTTTCCAGGGGTCTCGTCTGTAGGTTTATTGCACCCAGCATCCCGTTTCTCGTCAAGAGCGACATCGTCATCTTCTATCTTTATCACGGGCGGTTTTCTGTGTGTGACCGACTTCGATGCACTTCCTTCCATCGGATAATGATAGACCTCGGTTTGGAAACCGCTCTCCGCTCCACTGCGTGTTGAAAATGACGACGGTATAATCGAAACGGACCGTAACAGTACCATACCTCTTAGAGAGCAGGGATTTAGTTGTTCCTAGGTGCGTTTATCCTCTTTTGCTATTCCCCCGAGTTCACTGATGACAGAGCGTATCGGATAGACCAAATTGCCGTTTTCGATCATTAGAGCACCCGGTAGGTAACGGGTATTAGTTTGTCCTTCGCTTCTTAGCAAAAAATGCAGGGTTGGAATTTGCAAGAATCTGCGATGCTAAGAATTTGATAAAATCCTTCTTCTCATTTTTTGGGTGACTTTTTGAACGTGCTCGATGCATGGACGCTTTTCCTCCAATGAAAACATACCTTCTCGATCGAGGACAAGCAAATTAATTATTATCGTTACGTACGTATACATTATTATGAATCACATTTGTTTCTTAGGTATTCATTTCTAATAAAAGTTTTTAACCCTAATTAAACTTCTACTCCCGTGGGAGGAAGTGTGTCGTCAACGGCTATAAAGCTGCCATGAGATCTTTTACTCAGACAGTGTGTAGCACACATGGATGACACGATCTCTCGTAGAAGTCCTCATGCCAGCAATTGATTTTCTCTACTTAATGATTTCAATAATTTTATTCGTTGTCGTTCTTGAACCTACGGTACTTCCGAACAATAATAAGAACTGGCTGGTAAAGCCGTAAATATCTACCTTCCCACTTACAGCACGATCCTTCACGCTTTACTCGCAATAGAAACGTTGTAATTTCCCAATGCCGGAAGTTGAGAAGAACTTGAGCAGCTGTTGTCTTCTTCGGAAGGAAGGAAACCTATTGGAATGGTTTTTGGAGGTAAGTTCCTGGCATCGTCTCGGCGTTTTGTGGAACGAGCACTGGCCGCCATCGACAGCTAGCATGCACTGTAGATGACATTATTGTTCTTCCTTGCGGTCGAGCTAACGTGAGGCTTATTTCGGCATCCGTATGTCGCCAACACGTACGGTGCTTATGTCAGGAGTCATTATGGGTGATTCCCGTTATTATACAAATGCTAAATTTGATAGACAGACAGACCAAAAATCTATGACAATTTGTCATAGATTTAGCATTTTTAGAATGGGTCAACCGACCCCATTCTAAATGTGCTAAATCTATGATGGAACCCAAAAATTAAAATTTTCTACATAAGATTCAACACAAAGGCCTACCAGTACCTACCCACACCCCTATTTAGTCATTACAAACCATTTAAGATTCCAGATTCTCAAAAAGACTGGTGAGATGAAGGAGAACAAGAAGCCTGCCTTCCTCCTTGCTGTCTGGCCTATCCGTTGCAATTTTGATCCCCAATACTATAAATTGCTAAAAATTCTAATTTATCATTCTATAATAACAGGAATCACCCAATATGTTTGCAATTCGCCATAAACTCAAATGTCCTGGCATACTTAGTCCCCAAATTCAAAGTTAACTTTTTCACACATTGTGTCACAGCAAAATGTTGCCACCAGTACTGTGCATTTTGTAACAATTGAATACAGCCAGCCCCAAGTGGTCTCCAGTTAAGACTTGAAGCGTTAAAATAAAGTTATCAACTTTGAATCAAAGTCATCAACTTTAATTTGAAGTTGCCAACTATTCTACATAGAATATGTACTACTAGTAGTCCTGGTAGGGGCAGGCTGGCAGACCCAGCAGCTGCTCCTCCAGCTGATCAGCTGCTCAGCTTGCATGAGAAAGAAAATCAGAGGTCTGCTGTAATAGTACAAAAGCTGTGTAGTAGTAGAAACACCATAGAAATTAGCAAATCAAAGGAGCAGGAGTAGACTGGCTGCAGATTTTGGTCAAAATTGCATGGTTTTTATCATGTTTTCTTCAAAATTGTACTGGGGCCTACTGTGGCCCACCACCTAAAAACTTCCCTCCAGCACAGCACTGCTCATCTAAACTGTTCTTTCATTCTGAAAACACCCCTTGGTTCAAAGCAATCTACCATGGGAATCACTCTATTTCAAGCACTTCCACTCACTTGTTTGTATTGTATCTGGTATGAGTAGACACCTTGATCCTCATCGTATAGGCTGGGCCACGCTTTTCCAGCCGAAATTTTTGTACATTTTTGAATACGGATATAAGTACATGAATATCGATCAATATTCAACGTACGCCGTTCTCCTCCACGCCATTAGAAAGCTCTTTCAATTCTCTTTTCAACCATGTGCTTATCGTTGTTAAGCGTCCGTTGGGGACCAAATTATAGCTGTTAGAGTGAGTTGCACCCTAGTTAACTCTCTACGTGTATTTTGTACTGTGCGGGGATTTTTGGCTATCTTTTTATCGTGTAATGACTACTTTGACTCAACCCCCCAATGGACAAGCTCACTAAATTTGGCCACTAATCGTGTGAACTCAAATTTGGCAATACCCCTCCTTGATACATTTGTTCTGTTTCCGGTTTATCAGAAGGAACTGTGTCGGAAGCATTTCCTGGTGCTTTTAACACGATGTGTTGATCCCATTTCTTTCTCTTAAAATCGATCGAGAACAATACACCCTGTGACGGACAGCACCCCTGCTAAGTTTGGAGGATACTGCAAAAAGCAAGCAAAGACAGCATAATAAGCAAAACAAGCAACAGCAAAACAAGCAAGATGAGCAACTCAAAACGCCGGATTTCCTAGTCGAAGATCTCCATAAGGACGTATATCAATACGCCAACAGCTCTCCAGACTCAGTCCCTCCACGACGCACTGGAGCAGTCTTATTTGGTTGCCATCCAAAGCAAAGAGTTAAATTGAACAGGAGGAGAGCAAAAACAAAGAAGGCAAGACACCAAGCCCGGATGCTTGTTTACAAAGGACCAAAGGCCTGTGCTCACAAGCACTGGATGCCACGTCGGAAGCTTGCAATCGTAAAGGGCAATATGGAGATGAAGTGGCATCCAGCATTGAAGGCAAGAGAAGCGCTTGAGCAAATAAAGCAACAACAAATAGACCCAGGGATTGGATGGAAGATTCAAATAGTTATGGAYCCCTCTGTGCCTCCTCCGGAAGCCCCTGAGCCCCCTCCACCAGAGATAATTGACAATCCGTCCCCGAAAGTACAGTTTGTAATGAATCAAGACTGGAAGTGGGTGGAGGAATGGGAATGGGACCAAAAGCCAACGCCATACAACAAAGAGCTGAATGAGACCTGTGCTGGTTGTCTGAAGAAGACCTGCCTAAAGAAGAAAGATCTGGCGAAGGCAATTGAGTTAGCTCGATTTGCAAAGCCTCTCTTGCCTCCAACGATGAGTGTCGGGGATAAACATGAGTAGTTCTTTGAGATCTACAGGACAGTCATGAAGAGGGAAAATAATGAAACTCCCTGTATTCAGTGTGCAAAAGAATTTTGCTTTGATGAGTGKGGACACCCTATGTATGATGGAAGAAGCTTATCCTTTGATTCAGCTGAYTATGAGGAGATGAATTGTGAGAACCAGCAACCAAATCAGCAACCCAATCAGCAACCAAATCAGCAACCAAATAAGCAACAACCGAATGAGCATACTATTCATATTTAAGGAATAAGCAACTGAATCAGCATGAGCTGGCTCAGTTTCATCAACAACTTCCTCATCACTTGAGCTTTCATCATCCTCAAACAAAGTTTCCACATCTGATTCTAACTCAAAGGCTGCTTCAAAGGCGGATTCTTGAGACTCAAACAATAAGGCTKGTTGTCGTGTTGCCGCTGCCGTTATTCTTGCTGAACGTCGGTTGGTTATGTTGTTGAGTGGCATCGATAGCTGGTAAGTGTTGCTGATAGTGTTGCGTGTTACTGATACTTTTGCTGAGCGTTGCTGTTGATTACTGCTGCTTACTGATGCTGATACGAAGGATGCTGATACGGAGGATGCTGATACAGAGGATGCTGATATGGAGGATGCTGATACGGAGGAGGATGCTGATATTGTCGATTCGTTGCTGATATCGTTGATACGGAGGTTCGCTKATATGTGTTGCTGATACAGAGACTTGCTGATATGGTGTCCGCTGATGCTGATATTCTTGCTGGAGATGAACTGTTGCTTATTAGTGAGGAGGACGCTGATTAGTGTTGATGGAGGGGGGGCAAGAAGATGTCGGTTGTCAGAACGAGAAGCGCTCTCACTGGAATTATGGTAGCTTCAGCACACGGTTGTGAGGACTCCTCTGTGTCCAACAATTGACAACAAGTTGCCTTCCTGCAATCAGGATGCTGATACGGAGGATGCTGATACGGTGTCCGCTGATACGAGTCGCTGATACGGAGGATGCTGATATGGAGGATGCTGATAGCGTCGACGCGTTTGTAGCTTGCTGCTTGGATCAATAGCTGGTTAGTGTTGCTGAATAGTGTTGCTGAATAGTGTTGCTGATAGTGTTGCTGATAGTGTTGCTGATACTTTTGCTTAATACTGTTGCTTAATACTGTTGCTTAATATTGATGCTGATAGTGTTGGTGGAGGGGGGGCAAGCGGATGTTGGTTGTCGGAACGAGAAGCGCTCTCACTGGAATTATGGTAGCTTCAGCACATAGTGGTGAGGACTCCTCTGTGTCCAACAATGGACAACGAGTTGCCTTGCTGCCATCAGCATCATGAAGGATCAGTATTGGTGCGGCATCGGATGTTATTTTAGGTAAATATGTTCATCGAGAAGTTATTTCAAGCACTCCGACAGACATCGTGACAAAAATTCTATAGAAAAAATGGTGTGTTCTGACAAGATTTCGTGATGTCAGTCGGCGCGCTCGACATATTTTACACGGGAAAAAGATGGCCAAAAATCCCCGATATTATCGTACATCTGCTGGCCAACGCTATACGATAGAAAGGCAGTCAATAGAGATTGCAGCAAACTTGTTAGACCAGATCTCTACCTTCTTGCTATCAGTTTAACTATCAATCCTTGTTCTGCCAGCCTTGACAAGTGCTCAACATTCATGTATAATGAAGGGGGAGAGATCTATTCAAGGGGGGTTGATATTTCCAGGTGACTGAAGGGAATGGATGTGACAAGGAAGAGGAACTCCACTATACTAGCATATCAAGCCTTCACCCCTAGGAACTTGCTAAGATGTGAGTTCTTTTTGACACATCAGGATTCCTACTAGGAGGAAGTTTATAGATGTGGATGAGTTTGTATTTAACATACAAAGGACCAATTGCAAATATGAATGGGCTACTAAAAGCGGAAGGGTTGGACAATCAGGACACTACAATAGAACTGAGTAGCTGACTATCATGCTAGATATAGAGACAGGGGGGATCCCAAGTTACCTCCAGAGACTAGTAGAGGAAGTATTCAAAATCCTAAGAGATGGATTCAGGTCCTTAGAACAGCAGGCACATCAGCTTGGTGGACCTTTGCTCAGTGCACTGATATCAAGCAGCATCCAGCATCTGGGGATACTGATGCTCACAGAGTGTTTCTTTGGGTCAATCTGAGAGCCCATCTCACTGGCTTGGTAGCTCAAATGCTTCATGTCAGACCAGCTGAGGAAGGAACTCACTTCATATCCATTCTTTGTCCTCCATATTGACCTAAATTTGGTCCTATTGAGTACAAGATCTGTTATATAATTGGGATGGTGAGCAAGGTGGCAAAGCCTCAATGGACCACAGCAGATCTTGAGCATACTCTTAGAACAGAGGCCTATAAAATTCTGGGCCCTTTTGATTCAACCTCTGACCATTGTGAATACACTGTGGATGAGATATACCAGCCAAGGAGATATTACTGAAGAAGCAACAACAACAGCACCTTTGTGGTTTCCAGCAAGCCTGCTGGTAGTAGATTCAGCAAGTTGTTGCAATGGACTGGAGCAAACCCCTGGGGACCAGCTTGTTGGCAAGGCAACTCCTTCTGGGCCTATAAAAATTGAATCCCACTGGGAAAGCCTGGATATGAGTTCCCTGGAGCAGCTTCACAATAGTAGTAGTACCAACTCAACAAGGAGGTACTTGGCATTTTATCAACAGCAATCAAGAGGGGATTACAACAGCACACACAAGCTGCTCTTATTTTACAAAGAGATACTAGTAGCAAGGCATCCTAATGGTGAAGAAACAGGAGGAAAAGAACCAGTACTAGAGGAATCAACAATGCACTTGGCATTCAGCCTTCAATATTTGTAGTAGGAAGGAGAAGGCAGAAGAGGCAATCAATCAGAGAAGCTGTCTCCATAGTCCAAGCCAGCTGAGCTCTTGCTGCTCAAAGAAGGGCACTTGACAATACGTTTGAGACCCAAGCCCAAGCTGTTGCTTGCTGACAGGTGCTTCAAGTCAGTGCTTGCTGCTAGGCACTTGCTCAGGGGTACGTCAAGCCAGTGTTTGAATCAGGAGCTTGCTTCCCCTCCTGCTTTGCAAACAGCTGGTTTTGCTTGACATACTTTACCATCAAATTAGCAGCCTCCATTACATTTGGACCAAGGTTCTCCATCTCCTGGTGTGCTCTCTTCTTCAGTGTCATGGCCTCTGCACTAGTGTCCTCAGCAGTAAGAGGAGGCACAGACAGTAGATCCAGCGCCTCTTGCTTGGAAGCATAATGAGTGCCAGGAACATACTGCTTGATACTATAGCTTCCTTCCTGATTGCTCATCCAAACAAATGAGTAGCAGTAACAGATGAGCCCATGCAACAAAGCCTTGGCAAGGGACAAGACGGAAGCTTGAATTCAGACTTGATAGGCTCAGGCTTCACATCTACCAGCTTGCCTGTGCTGTCAGAGCTATCACTGTAACTAGTATCACTATCACTATCAAGCAAGGATACTGGTGATGGGATGCAAGCTGGAGGACCCTCTAGTACTATGATCTCTTGGATACTGTAGACACTGAGCAAGATGAGGCACTGCTGCTACTGTGAACGCTGGTGGTGGCAGCAGCTGCTGGAGCAGTGTTAGCAAGCTTAGTGGCAAGAGGTGAACCAGCACTGGTATTCAAAGGTTATGGTGTAGTAGGCCCACCCAATCCATTCCTAGTACTGAATCAATTATCCTGATGGTAGGAGGAGCCTGCAGCTGTTGCTGAGGCTGCTGCTGGGGAGCAACAGGGGCCTGTTGCTGAGGTTGCTGCCTCTGAGGTGGTCACTGCTGCAATTCCCCAGGATTTGGAACACCAAACAATCCCCTCACTTGTCCAAGAACTATTGGATCCCTTGCTGCTGTAGTTAATTGATACACCACCATACTTCGTCTGAGTCCCCATTGGTCCATACTCTTTCATAGTAGCATCCCTCATGATCAAGTTCCTCTGGATACTATCCTCAGCAAGCAACCTAGGAGTACTGCCTTCATACCCATAACCATCCTGAACATTCCCTGAATCATTCTTCACACCACCAGGATGTGCTATTGCTGCATCAATGACTCCATTCTGCAGAGTGGAGGTGACAAGGCGGTTGAACAATAGCTGGGGATAGTTAGCCAGTTGCCCAGCACCTGTCTGTAGGTGGTTACTTCTTGCCTCCTCCTTGTCAGCCTGTGTAAACAATTGATCCTGCCTTAACAATCCACCAGAGGTTCTTCCCAAAAATATTTCAATCTTTTCAACATTAATTTTCAGTGCAAATTCTACAGAACTTTACAGGAGTTTTCTCCCCTATTCTCAACATGCTGGTTTACATTTAATGAATTGCCTGCTGAGAAAGAAGAAGCAGAATTGGCCCTGCTGCACCAAAAGAATTTGGTTCATCCTAGTACTACTACTACTACTACCATGACACCACCAGTATTAGAAAACTACTACTACTACCTCAGTGGATTTTGCAGCATGTTCTAGTACTACAATGCTAATGTTGGGAAGGTTAAATTAATGTTGTTGGGAGCCTCTGGATTAGTAAACAAGGACCATCTGTATACTAGTAGTAATACTAGTAGTACTTCTAGTACTAAATAATTGCAGTATTGATTTTTTTGAGGAAATACTAGTTGATGAATTCCCAGCACAGCATCCTTTTTCAAGACAACAAACCACATGATCAGCAGCAGAACCAATCACCAAATTATGGGTGCTGTTATTCTGCCTCTAGCATTGATATTAGATGAGATAAATCTGTTTATGCATAACGGCTCTAGGACTAAAAACATACTATTGGAAAGTTTCTTGGAAATCCACCCCCCAGACCCCCCTTCCGCTTCGAGAAACAATTTCAGTCAAAACTATTTTAGTCTTTTTTAATGTTTCGACGTCCATGATTTGGTGGGATAAGAAGGCGTGGTCCTGGACCAAACAGTACGGGTACTAAAGTACACGTAGAAATTACTTTTTCCTGGTCCTACGGCTTCAAAGTATTATTTAATAAACGGCTGTTTCTGTATGGGAGGACAATAAATGAAGTATCAGTGAACACGGATCTCAGATCTTTGGTTCAAGGCAATAATAGTAAGCGAAATGAATATTAAAAAATCCGTACCGAAAAGCCACGTTAGTGAAATACGTACTTCCCACCGTACGAAGTAATATCTTCCTACGCTATCGTACATAGTACGGTACAGTTACCCGTAGTTAGTTGTCTTCGACAGAGCCGACTAAATGGCCTATTTCTTTCCTTTCAACTTCGTGGTTTAAATGTCGTATTTCCTTCTACTGTACGGTATTTCCCCTACTTCACAAAAATCCTCACGGTTCAGTATTTTTCATACAGTACCGTGATGTCAGATGACTACTACCGGTACCTCCGCTCCGTTCCAAAATACTGGTGCAGTTCGCACCTCTTTGGTCGAAATAAACTCAATTTTTGGCCGATTTAACTGCTTAATTAATTTTTATTCACGCGCGCGCATGCTCATTTATATTTTTTATCTACAGTACTGATTCTACGTGTTTTAGAACAAAGAAATACCGTACCATTATTTTGGAAAAAATGTAGTAGGGCAAACTGTACCAGTATTAAAAAATAATATCATCTCAGGGCGGAAGGAATCGAGACTTTACCGGTACAAAAATGCATTGGGATCGAGCTGTGAGTTTCCTTTTCAATTAATTTTCGTAACCGCATGTTACTTATCTTGTTTTAGAGAAAGTTCCAATGTGTTTGGCCAAGAGGACGTTGAATTGATAGTACTTGGGTAGGCGTCTGTTATTTGTGTATTTGTCTCTTCTTCTGTGTACTTAAGTGGGATGTACAAAAATGACTTTTTGTACTTATCAATTTGAAAAACAGAATTTGCACAAATAATATCAATTTGAAAAACAAAATTTGCGCAATTAAGAACCTATTTTGGAAGACCGTACAGGTAGTATTTCCTTGTTCCAAAAGCATCTGATCATCTCACAAAAATCACGCAGGCATTGAACGCTTCAATATTATTTCCTATTTCGAAGCTTTAATGTGATGCAAGTAGGAAGCGTACAAGTTGTTTGAACCATATTTGCTTTAATAGTCCTTTTCAAAACGTGAGCTTGCTGATTTTTCGATATTCGCTGATTTTCGCTTGTCTGAGGACCTGAGCAAATAAGGTGTGGAATGTCACCGGACAAATTGATCCGAGACATAACAATTTGTGGTGTTATCGACGGCAATAACATGGACAGAGGGCTCTCTCGTACTTCTAATAGCGTTACCAACCAAGAACAAACAAGCGATTCTGATGTAAACGGGCAACGCAAAATTCATGGTTTCGTTCCATCTCCAAGTACAAGCGCAATCCGTAGTGGAGTTGCTCTGAATAATTTTGATGAAGAACGGAATAAGTTACTGACGGCTTCCATAACATTCGACGATCCGTTGGCATTTGCAGAGGCCCGAGCTTTCGTGGGGAAAGGGCAACAGACTTTAGATTTTGCCAATACAAATGCTGCTCTTATTAGAGCGCGGCAGCTGATTGACGAAGAAAAGCTACAGAGGACTTTATTGCGTAATCGCCTATATCTGGAGGACGCCAGAAAAAACAGCGCTTTAGAATCAGATCTTGCCTCTACATCCAATGAAGAAAAGCTACAGAGGACTTTATTGCGTTATCGCCTATAYCTGGAGGACGCCAGAAAAAACAGCGCTTTAGAATCAGATCTTGCCTCTACATCAGCCGTGGCATCAGCATCCCTAAGAATAGGAGATCATCCTCCTGTAGGGGGAAGTTCAAGGAAACGTACTCTGGACCAAGATAGTATGCTGATGTTGGAAAGAGAACGAATATTGAGAAGAGCTCGTCAAGAGGAACAATTAATTGCAGAAATTTTGGCCAGTGAAAGAAGGAAACGAGACGGTGATATGATTTTCAACTTGCTCAGCCAGCAAAATCCGATGGCATCGGGGACTTCAAGGTCTACTCACGTTGCAACCCACAGTGATGATCTTTCAAGGATGACTTTGTACAACAGAGACTCGTTATCGTTGCAATCTGCATTGCAATCATCGAATCTTCCAGCGCCCCTGACGGACACGGCTTCAACCTCATCCATCCTTGGAAAACGGACGTCTTTCGCAACCTCGGCTTCTCCCTCTATGGCACGACGACTGTCTACGATGAACCGTTTACCTTGCGAAGGAAACGGACTCGGGGATGCAATAACCCAAAGAAGCCAAGCTCCCACCTCGTTGTGTGACCCGATAGGGAGCAGAGACGTAAACAGCGTCTATGCGTCTATGCTGCGCAGTGTTGCACCTCTCCCTACAACTGCCCCTTCTCCAGTAGATTTTATTCGTTCTTCTACTCTCCACACAGCCGAGGCTCCAAGTTTTGCAGGAGTATCCCTTCACCAACAAGCACCAGACGAGGCTGATGATATCTCTAAACGATTTAATAAACATCAATGCAAACAATGGACAGTAAAATTTCATGAGCTAATAGCTTACAAAAAAAAACACGGACACTGGTAAGTGCAACGACTATCACATCTCTGATAGCTGAGTGGACCACTCCATTTATTGATCATGACACGCAATCACATCTAAGCTTCTACGCTATTCTATTGACTCCGAAATCATATTTTTGACATACTGACCTTGTCCGGTCTCAATCTCTCCAGTAATGTTCCTCACCTTTATAAAGAAAACCGTGGGCTCGCAATGTAAGATTTTATAAAGTAGAGAAAAAAATAGAGAAGAGCAGACTTGTTCGTTTTAGCGAAAGGCATTGTGATCGCTTCATCCTACTGTCATTTTTTTCTCACACACTCTTCTTTCACGCACTATGACGTAGGTGGGTGAAACGGCAACGGCACCAACACAACCTATTGGCCGAGAAGAAGCCGTCCACTCTAACTGGCGAACGAATAAAACTTTTGGAAAGCATTGGATTCATTTGGAATTGCCTAGACAGTGCATGGGAAAAGAATTTTCAAGATCTTCGTGCTTTTGCCATTTGCCATGGACACTTGTAAGTCTTTACGCGTCAATCACGCACCATGCTAATCAAGCATCGCATTTGTTAACGCTACTTTTGTTGGTAGATGTTGTCATCGATTATTTGGCCACAATGATTTGTTTTGATCGAAAGTGATTGCAGAAATGTTTTCCATCAGTATTGTTGTATGCTCCAAACCTCATTGTCATATTTGTCGCCGTCCGCCACGGTGTCGTCTTTCCGCTCTCTTTTCAACAGCTCGGTTCCTCATACATACGAAAAGAATACGAAGCTCTCCAGCTGGGTGGTCAATCAACGAAGGTACGAATGTTACTGTGTATACAAAAGAATACGCACGCACGCTAAGAGGAACGCCATGCACTCGATTGTCGAACGTACCACTAGCGTATTGCCTCGATTAATCCTCGGCAACATATTTTGTTGACAAACGTGGTAACATGCATTTTACTTCACTAATCATCTGTGCTGAACATCGATGTGCTTTGTAACCAACTTAGGCAATGCAAGCTTGTTGAAGACGGAAAGCCAAGTAGCATGACCAAGCATCGTTTTGAAAAACTAGAACAAATCGGATTCCCCGTCGTTAACAAGAAACGGAAAAGGGCACGGAGCACGCTGTAAAAGCAGGTCAAGTATTTATTGAATTTTCGGTGTATCCTTGTGTTCCTTTTGTTCCTGGCATATACGTGCTCCTTAATTCGACAAATGATTTCTTCTACAGATGCTGCTTGATGCCTATCAGATGTTTTGTTTGCTTCTCCTATTTGTGCAAGGTATAAAGTGTTACTAGTTCGGCCCTCGAAGTAATGTATGGAGCACATCGGATGCCGACAGTAATCAGAATGTGAAGGAACACAACAAGTACTACGAGTTTTTCGTGTTGCCATAACAGGGGGTGAAGTAGGACTGTATTTTTATGGTAGTTGGAACCTTGCCCGAAGCAAAATCACGTCAGAAGAGTATTTGGGTCCTGTACCGATAGCGGTTGCTCTTGAGACCCTTGAATATCAGAGATAATTGATCACCGAGCACACCATTTTAACTCTTCTTCGTGTTGCTGCTAGTACTAGTACTACTGCTACTACTACATCACACTACCAAAAAACCAAAGCATGAAACTAAAGCTACTACTAGCTACAACTGTTTTGTTTCTAGTAGCATGGTGGTCCACAACAAGAAGCAGATGCTTGGTGCCACCAGCGTCACAGAAGCATACTAGTAATAATACTAGTACTAAGGAGGCACTTTCATACTACTAGTAGTAGTTAAGAAGATACTATTATTAATGGGTGAACAATTGTACTTTTTTGTTCCCTCTGATTTTGGGTTTAGTAGTCCACAAGTCATATTTGTTGAACAAAGAACCAACAGAAAAACCTCATTGCTTGCACTACAGATTGCACTACAGAACTTGCTGCTCAACTTGTTTCTTGGACTCTCTGTCTATCTGACCAATGGCTCCTACAATCTGTTTGATCTTTGTGCAGAACATACTATCTTTCTCTTGTCTTTCTGTAACCTCCAGTTTCCTTACTAGTTTGTATCAATAGTAAATGTCCCTGAAATTCTTCAGGTATGATGCTTGCTACTAGCTTATCTTCTATGAATAGCACCACCAACAGAGGAAAGAGTATTAGATTCTGACACAAGGATTGAAGAGGTATCTCTCACACATTGCAGATAAGATACATTTGTAATTTTTTGCACTAATGTCTGTGTGTTGTGACAGCATGCTGCCAGTTTGCTGCCTACAGTTCTACTCCAGTATTCACTTCTCAAGAAATTGAAACTTTCTGTTATAGATCTCTTGTTAAATCAGTTTCTTGCACTCTGTTTTGCAACTGCTTTGACTAGTGGTTTGTCATGAGGTAGTAGTAGTAAGGACAGTAAGAACTTGTACTTGTCAAACACTAGTACTTCTCTTGTTGTGTATGTTACATTTTTTTCCTTCACATGATATAGCTCTGTGTCCCAACTCAGCATTGTTCTCTCTAGTAGGCTTTCATTCCTTTTGCTATTTGTGTTTGCGGTCAGCTTGTGTTCTCAATGAGGTTAGGACTTGCGTACCTGCTGTGGACAAAAGAGTCAGCATTTGTATGTACAGCATTCCCATGTATTGGCTGTCCTCCTTTGCAGTATGAATGGATTCCAAGCAATTGGTCCTTGAAAAATTACAATCAGATTGCCTTTGAACAACAGCCCCATAGTGGTAACTACTAGGAACACTGTCCATTGAACTCAGTAACCAATCATTCATTCCCAAAAAGTCCTCTTTGAAGGTTTCTGCTTCTCTCTTTGCCCATCCAAGTTGGTGCATGTAAAGCCTCTCTCCAGGACTGGCAAGATTGATGCTGTATAAATTTATGCAATGCCAAAATCTAATTCAGAAAAGACATTTCTGCCCTTTATTTGGTGGTGGGATATGTTTTTGAAGGATTTGGTAGAATGAGTTCCTAACCCATGTTGCTGAGATCAAAAAATCTTCAGGGGTTCACAGTCTTATAGTTGTCAAGGTATGATGGTCTTTGATTTCCCTGTCAATTAGTAGGGGCAAGACGTCTCCTGCTTTGGTGCAAATATGCTCCTTCAACGCACTAGCTCTGGTACTAATGCCAGGTGCTCTTGGGAAATTACAGTGACAGCAGAGCATTCTGGTATTTGCAGAACAATGATAATGAACACAATTTTGTTGTTGTTGTGGTGTGTTGTCAATTAAAAATGCTACTACAAATTTCATTTTGACAGGCCAGCTCTTTCCATTCCAGGGAAGGTTGGACCACTCGATACATTCAGACAAGTGACATGCCTCTTTCAGGCTTTGCAATGCTGCATATGAGAAGCCTGAATGAAGATTGTTAATATTGTTGATGGTATTGTCTGCCTTGTTGTATTTGATAGATGGATGAAAATAGAAGGTCTCCCATCCAATAGGTTTCAATGAGTGTATTAAGTTGCTGTACTGAACATTCCAACAATCTGTTGAGGGGGGACGGACATGAGCCCACTGTTGTTAATGGCATTTCTGTCCATGTAGAGGATAAGTAGGACCAAAAGTTCATTCAGTTCTGGTTTGCATTTTTTGTTCCTAGTAATAATCCAACAGCTTCTGTGGTGTAGTTCACAAAAAAATATTGTTGTCGTCAAGCAACAGATTCAAATCAATGGATGTTGGGTCATTCTTGCTGGGGAATGAAAGGTTGTCATATGTAGCCAACATGACATTCATAAGTAGGGAATGCAGAGCTTTCCTAAATGACCTAACGTACATTTGTTTTTTATGGCAATCAAATGGATCAACTGAGGTATTGCAATGCCAGTGAATGTAAAATTCTTTCATCACAGATTTTCGTTTTTTGAATAGTAGGTTCCCATGTGCCTATGATAAGAGTTCAAGATGCTCAGCTTTGGCCTCTCATTGGTATGACTCCCTCTTGGCAGCAAGAGAAATTTTGTGTTTGATTATGAGTTTCAAGAGCTTGATTTTGACCTTTCATTTGTTGGATACATGGCTCTGATGTGTGGGCATCTCAATTGGAGTGTTTAATGATTCTTTTGAGAAGCAAGAGGGATTACATTCCCAGTTGCGTTCAGCTTGATTATGTGCATTACCAGTGTCTTTGGATAGGGGGGGAAGGGTCAGGGTCAGGGTCAAAAGTAGGTGTGTCATTGTCAAGTTCCTCCTCCAACAAATTGCAGTTGATTGGTTGACACATAGGGTCAAACATAACCTGTGAATCAAGATTTTTTGGAAGTGTCGTACCTGGACCATTTTATGTATTTGTCAAACAAAATTTCTTGGCCAAATTTGATTGCTTGTTGTCCAGGTCAAACACAGAGGCAGCTTGCGAAGTCCACTATACCAACCAGTCAATGTCAGTAATGATAGGAGCAATCTCTGTTGTTGCTGAGAGGACAAAGAAGTTGTCTTGAGTTGATTACAAAGTCACTGCCTGAAAACTTTCAAACATAGAGAATGGGCATCGTTTTTCAAGAACGCAACGGAATTTCATGTGTTGCATGACTGGCTAAAGTATTGTGATACTAGAAATGATACTATGAGAGACATCAGGTTTTGGCCCATCGCATTGAGTGAGAAAAATGGATAACAGGTTTCCGCTGTCGCAGGGAATAGTTTTCCGGTCGTGAGCAGTGTTGTTAGTCGGTTCGTCGGTTCACTTATTTAAGTCCTTCTATTCTCGCTCTACGCGGATGCGTTTCCGCTTCCTCCCATGGTCTCTGCCCACCGCCTGAGAACGGCTCCCTGGTACTCTACGTCCTTTTGCCGCAGGTGTGCCGCTTCCTCCCTGGCGGCCTTGGTCCGCTCCCGCTTGTAGCTACGGGCCTCCATCCGGCGGTGGTGTGCTTCCAGAATGTGGGCCTTGTAATCGGAACGGATCTTCCGGACCCTGCGCCAGCGTTCGGCCTGCCGCCGGAGGTTGCGGTTCCCCCGCTTCCCGGCCCGCTCCGGGAGGGTCGCGTATGCTTGCTTGAGGAGTTCCTCTGTTTCCTCCGGTGAGTAGCGAATGGCCGGGAATTTCTGGGCGACCGCCGAGATGTTCTCTTCCGACGGGTCGGAGAGAGCACCTAGGCGTGCAAGTTCCTTCTCCCGCTTTCTCCGGGCCTGCTTCCCGCCCCTGCTCTTCTTGAGGGCGGTGGCGGTTGTGGTCTGGCCGGTCTGGAAGCCCTCGACCGTGATAGATTGCTGGAACTTGACCCACTCCTGGTGCTGCAGGAAGGGGCTGTTTTTGTCGGCGGTTTCGCCAGAAGCATCTTCCGCGGTGGCCACTGCTGCTCCGGGCTGCGATATTCGTGACATGGGAGCAGAAACAACACAACAAGACGAAACAAAAAGAATTAGCAGAGAAGAAAGGGATTGATGCATGTGGCTGCCATCGGCAAATAGCTGCGATTGCCACACAGACAAAAACTATCCACGACTTTCGCGTAACAAAAGGAACATTGATCCGATTCGATTTGATTTGCATCTTATCGTATCGTATCGTATCGTATCGAATCGTATCGTATCGAATCGTATCGTATCGAATCGAATCGAATCATACCGAGCGTACCCTACGCACCTTGTTCGCGTTTTTCTTCTTCTTTTGCTGTATCTTTAAGCGCCTTGCATTCTTGGCGTCGATAACCTTGCGGTTAGTGGCCATCGATCGACGAATTGTCGTCGTCCAATCGTTGTTGTCGGTAGTATTCGCGCCGAACGCCGCCCTCGACAGGAGGGATCTCGTGTTATTGGTGGTGGCCACCGGTGGAGGCAATCCACTGGAGAACCTAGCCGACGAAATTGACAGCGATGGTGATCGTGACGTCGAAATCGACAGTGCGTCCGAAAATAGCCTGGAAAGCTGGCACTGGTTGCGGCACAGAGATGCGGCGGAGGTTACAATCTTCTTCGACATGGTTGTTAGCGCGCGGTTCGAATTATTTCTTGACTGCCCGATCGTTTGATTCGATTCTTGATCTGCGCGAGTCCGTAGTTTGCGATTGCACTATATAGGCCGGGTTTCTGCTTTGAAACGAATGTTGCGAGTTGCAGGTATCGTCACTCTGTATTTGCTTCCGGAGCTCTTCCGTTCCTCCTCTTGGCCTATTGATGATGATGGTTAGGGATTGTTGTCGCTTGTTGACGGACTCTGCAGGAGTTGTCGACGGACGACGCAGTTTGAACACAATATTTGTGAGGTTCTGTCGCCTCTGAGGAATCTAACGAGTCAAATAGTGTACGACTGTCCGTCATCCGTATTGACGATTGATGGGTCGGATTTGATGATTTGGGATTTGGTCCCATCGAAAGATGTTCTTTTGACTCATACTGTTACTTCCGTACTGGAACACTTTTACTGCACTTACTATGGGGTCTCGGAAGAGAGAGGACAAAAATGAGATTCGATTCAATTTTCGGATTTCTCCTTCGGCAAACGAACCGCTACGAGTACGCGTTGCTGTAGCTGCTACGTACTGTAGTACCGTACCGTATCGGCGGCACAATACAGAACCGTAGAATACATAGAAGACGTCACGTTGTTGATGATGATGATCCAAGAAAAAAATCAATTCTATTGTATCGTACCGTATCGAACCATGGCATACGAACCGTGTGGCACGAAACGGCGAACCACTACTGCTAAAAAATCTTTTTCCCCGCCAAATTCTTCGCGTTACACTAGACTGTCAACGGAATAGCATCTCGTCGCATCGAGTTATCCCAACGCTACAAACAACACAAACAAATCGACGGGCTGCAACTCTTGCAAACGGTGGTGCATCTAGAAGGATGATCTCCGTCACCAGCTCCGGAAGAAACTCCGGCGATGGGACGATCGACATCGAGATGACCGCTGCGGACCCCACTACCACAACGGACAAGAAGACCGACGAGCCGGTGGAAGCCGCCGTAAAAAACGATGGAACCAGCGATGACGAGTGGTCTAACTGGAGGGAAAAGCTCCTCTCGTCCCCGAGGAGCCTCTCGCCCAAGTACAAGCTCATCACTGACAAGAATTACCGAGAGAACTCTATAAACGCCCTGCGCTTTGCCATATTGGCTTCCGCCATTAGCACCAAGATGCTGGCCCCAAACTATGCCATCATGTGCTCCGGGACCGATCCGGAATCCTTCCCCACGACGGCACCGTTTGGGTTCAACTCGGCGACGTATTTCATTCCGTGAGTTGCTGTTGTTGTTGTTGTTGTGCTTTTGGATTGTTGGGTGATCATGCGAGGTGTACGGCACTAGTGCCGTTTGCGAAGTATAACATCTCCCTTCGGATTTCATTCTCCTTGTGAATGTTTTGCTTGCTTTTCTCTCACMGCTGTTATTACTCGAAATTGAAAACGGAATGCGGCGTCGACGCAAACAAAATAAAACGGCAACAACAAAACAACAAAAACGACACGCAACAATTCTCTAGCATGATGAGTCTCTTGGGAGTGGCGATCAGCAGCATCTTCATTGGACCTGTCAGCGACAAGATCGGAAGAAAGGGGCCGATTCTCTGGATGGCCATCATCAGCGCCGCCGGCAACATTGTCAAGTATTTCACAAGGCATACCTTCTGGGGCTTTTGCATCTCCAACCTGGTCTTTGGTTTCTTTCTCGGAAACCTTCCCATCGGCATGGCCTACATCGGTGACATCTATACGGACAAGATCGAGAAAGAAAAACAGCTGGGGGTCCTGGTGGGCTGCTTTGTGCTGGGGAATGCCGGCGGCGGGATGATCGCCATCCTTATGAACGAGAGCGGATTGTTCTCGCCGCTGTGGGTCGGCACGGCACTGATGATCGCCTCGAGCGCTTACGTGATCAAAGCCTTCATCGAGCCGGGGGACACTCGCCTGATCGATTGCGGTGGAGGAAAGGACGGCCTGGAGGAAACGGAGGAGGTCCAGCGGCCAGAAACGATCAACAACAAGGTCATGTGGAACATTATTGTGAGTGCCATGGATTTGGTCCTCCGGTGCTTGCTTGTACCCGGAGTTTGGTGGTTTTGGTTGTATCCGATGGCGTATATTATGCAGCTATTCCCAAGCGGTACTTCCGGGAACACTCTCGATTTCATAGGTGCAACAGTTCAGCTCATTTTTTTCTCTCTCTCCTATCGACTATACAACAAAACTATCGATTTCTCCAACAACAACAACAACGACAACCACCGCTTCACTTCATCAGCTCGGTGCCCTGGCCGACAACTTTGGTTCCACAGCCTTGTTCCCAATGTGCCTTTCGCCTCTTGCCCTTGAGCAATACTATTTCCACTTCGTTGATGCAGGGGTGGCCCCAATCCTTACTATTTCCGGGTACCAGTGGTTGTCAGTATGCGTTGCGCTGCTAGTGATTCCCTCCACGATGATCACGCCGCACGTCTTTGCCAAGATCGGAGCCAGTGGATGCTGTGTTTTTGGTAACGTGTTCACGGGGCTCCTCACCATGGCGCTTTTGCTCATTGCAGGTAAGCAAATGACCCTGGAATAGTGACATGAGGGGTTCGAAGTTCTGGGGCTGCGCTTGTGATCGCTCCACAAAGTAGTGGTACTTTGCATAGTTCGCTGACGAATCCCTTGGTTTTCTCTTTCATTCCGTTTTTTTTTTTTTTTTAGGGTACGCACCCGCGACACAGCTATCATTTGGATTCTTTGTTTTTGTTATGTATGGCGGATTTCCGTTCACTGTGTTTTCACAACTGACCACAGGTCCGATGCTCGACGTCATTGCTCCGGAAGGTGGGTGAGACCAGCTGGCCATGTGTCACGGCGGAATAACGTTTTTGCTTTCCGTACGATTCATTCTTTGTTTAACGTGTGTTTTTTCTTCCCTACTTTCTGAAAGACAAACTTGGATACGTACAAGGTATGTGCACTTATCGAAACCTTGTAACGAGTTTTGATTGTTCGACATTTCAGATTGATACCATGTTTCAGACCTGGCGATTATCCTTTGTCTTTTACTCTCTACTCTGACGCTATTTTTCTTCTTTGCTTCTGCTTCCAGGGCTCAATAATGCTGCTATGAATTTTGGCATGGCGATTGCACCTTGGCTGTTTGGACTCCTAGCCGACGTGACATCGACGAATACTAGTATTTGGATAGGAATAGGCATAAGTTTCATCGCTGGTGTCATCAATGCTCCGTTGATGTGGAGACCAGAAATGGGCCCTCCCCCGAAGCCACTCCCCTACGACGAATGGATTCGCAAAAACGAAGAAGCAGAACTGGGACAAGAGATGCTGAGCGACGAACACGTGCCCCCGGCTCTTTTGTTCCTCATCAATCGTCAGAGAGGAATCGAGAACAAACCGTACATACTTCCAAAAATCAAGTCGTATGCCGAGGACAAGGACAAGCTCGGAGAGCTTCGTGCAAACGCACTCGATAATTACCGTTTCCGACACGCCCTCCAGGACCAGACACTGGCAGAACTGACAGCGCCAAACGGTCGGTTCAATGCAGAGGAACTTTGCGATCTATTGAACACGGCCATTTCGAACGTTGATGAAGAAGCAGTAAACCAATCCACCGCGGATGTCGGCCAATGGATTGGCGATTACATGGCTGCGAATGGATATTATCCCCACCAAAACAGTCTGATTATCAAGCAGATGATAATGTCCACCTTTCCATCTATAAACACGGACGGCAAGGCAACGCCCGAAAACATCGAGCAGACCCTGATTCGATCCCGATACCTGATTGGCAAGTATGCCGACCTCGAGGAGAAAAAGCATGGGAAGTACAGTTTGCTCGGAGGAATTCTGGGCAAGGGCCACAGGCCACAATTCTTTACCTAAAACGAAAGAGAGGTTGGTGTTCAATTTGATATTGATATAGATCTGTCGAGGAGTCCATTAAGCCAATAGAAGACTCTTAATTGCGCACAACATAAATTGAGTACATGAATTGAAGAAATAGCATGCCTTCTTCTTCATCAATTAACCATTAGCTCTATTTATAATTGTGAAGTCCCCATTGCCTCGGATTCATTCTGTTCATTCGTTTCCAAAACGTGAACAAAGCCAGTGGTTCCCAGGACATCTGGATTCGGTACGTCGATTCGTTCGACCAACTTCCATCCGAAGCGGGGGTCCAGGGCCCTGTCGGTCGTCACCGCCACGCACCCGGGTTTGCATGCCTCACCGAGGGGTCTGCTCCATTCTTCTGCATCCAGAAGCAAGGCACCCACGTCCGGATCAAAGTACTTAGCCTTGAATACCGTCGAGTACGAAAATACAATGTCGGCAGATCCTAGTAAGGCCGATCCTTCGGGTTCCGTAGCCGAGCCCAGGTGAAACGAAAGTTTGTTCGATTTCGAGAGAAATGATGGATCGCCTTTGCGTTCGTCTTCTCTACCTGGATCACCGCCGCAGCTTCGGAAGAGCTCACGTCCCATTCCGGCATCCACCAGCTCGAGGGCTCCGTTGTGCAACACGGACGAGATCTCGATTCCACAAACCCTCCAGCTCTCCTCGCCGGTGTCGGTTTCCCCAGCTCCCCTCCCGTGCCTCGTCAGCGCTGAATACAGCACAATGCGTCCCAGGCCCGATCCAATGTCTACCATCTGGATCGCGCTGCCACCGGCACCGGCACCCGACGACAGGTGACCGACAGCGGCATCCAGCAAGACGTCCAGGCTTGCGAGGGGAAACTCGGCGTAGGTCCTGGCCAGCCGAGGGTCGTCGGCCAGGATCACCCCCGCGTCCTCGTCGTTGCCGCCCAAATCTCCTCCGCACTCCTGCTCCGCGGCTTTGAGTCCCAATGTTTTTCGATCCCCGTACGCGCTGGATGGCAGGAGGTCGTCCTGGTCCAGCAATGCCTGGGCATCGGTTCGTGTAAGACGGTTGGCCACCGACCAGCACGGCAAGAGTGTTGCTCGCAGAGCGAAAAGGCTGTCGGAAGCGTTGCCGTGTATTCGTTTTGATGGGTTCAATCCAAGAATGCGATTCCTAGACGCCGCTGTAGCAGCCGAAAAAGTCTCTGAAAACGGCACGAGATCGTTCTTGTGGCGTTTGAGATAGGCCCGAGTGCTTGCGGTGGCACCGGTGTTTCCGTTCCCTCTCGGAGGGAGAAAAGCCGATGCAAACAAACCGTTGAATCGATCGTGTCCAACGATTGTGTACACGGCTGCGATCACTTGCAGCAGAACCATTACTTTTTGCTTGGAATTCATGCTTGCTAGTATTCTATTTGGTGGGTTTCACCTTTACTCAGAAAGCCAGGGGGAGGAGAGTGAAATACACAAGATGTGATTGTTGGAGATGGTGAGAACCGGAAGCCTGAAATGAGGCCGCAGTCGCAAGACTGATTTCAAACAGAGGACGAGAAATGCCGTGGCAGTGTCGACTCGCGGAACTAAGATTCTATTGATACAACGAAGCTCTTGCAGGCATGACACGGGACGAATGAAGTAGGTACTGTTCGGTATGAATTCACCCGTTCTATCAACATTCAAACAAACTTTTCACAAACTTTTCTTTGTCTTTTGATGATCGTGTCTGTTTTTGACCGACTCATTTGAGTCATAACCTGTTCAGTCCGAAATACTAGCACGAGATCGTATGTTTTGTACATACGTATATATATATACATATATATATACATACGTATGTGCTCTTCGCTCTTCTGTGTCACAACTCACAACCCGTGACTTACAAGAAGAAAGTCTAGTCACTAGCTTCTCAGGACCCAGTGCCTCAGGATTTCAAAATTTTCAAACCGAAAATCTTCGCTTTTCTTACCGGTACGGTGTGGTGTCAACAGTTTTCCTCGAACAAAAATCTCTCCGAAGAGTGTGAGAATAGCATTGTTGGTGAGAGTGCTTCCTCCCATACCACATTCAATTCGTCAAACCCGACATTCGGGATGAACAGAAGAGGAGCGCGAAAGAAAAGATAATAGCTTCCGAACAGTCCAAACCGATAGTCAGTTTCAATGACACTGGTGCCTTTTTGGATGAGCGAAGGTCGTTCTCGCGTCTACACCAAAACCGTCGCTCTGATTGTTGTTCTTGGCGTCGTGGTCATTGGGAACAATCCTCCGCTTTGGTGTGTGGCCTACGAAATCTGCGGTGGAGACAAAACCGCTGTAAATTCTACAAAAAGGAACGGCGATGGCAGAAAAGTCTGGTATTGCCCTGCAGGGAACACCTGTTGCCGAATGGCAGCAACGGGCGGCATCCGCGATGGGATCGACAGTAGTGTTTCCTGGGGTTGCATCGCCTCCGATATGGGGGCGAAAAATGCGACGTGTTGTACCGATGACATTGGCGAGAGCAACACCGGGTGTCCCGCCGGATACCAATGCCGCCGCAGAGAGTCTTGGCATCGGAACGCTGCCAACGGATCTCAGTCACAATCTCTCGTTGCTTCGCACGATTGCTTCTTAGCCGAGACCGAGACCGGTCACTACGACCCGCTGATGCAAGTACTTCCCCGGTATCGGTTGTGTCGAGCGGAAGCAAGCAACCAACGATTATACGGTCTACCGGTGTCGCCATCTCTGGCATTAGGCGACGCAAAGGAGGAACGGGGTTCTCTCAACGCAACAGGCAAGCTGGCCTATTACTCCAATCTTGGACCTATCGACGACCGGGGCAACTACCCTCTCTTGTCGGGGGTGGAAATGGCTCTTGTCGTCGTCCATGGAGCAAATCGCAACGGGGACGATTACTTTTGTTCCGCCAAGGCGACGATCGATTTGCAACACCGCTTTGGGGACACAATCAAGAAAGCGCAACCCGCCAACGGTTCTACCAAAGAGAGAAGGATACTGGTGGTTGCACCCGTATTTCTGCCAACTCCTTCGCCCACAGGTGATCTTTCCGGTGCTTCTCAGGGAGGACGACACCATCCACTGTCCTTTTTGTTCTGGGATGAAGCCGGTGACAGGGACGGCTCGTGGAGATACGGAGCCGACGCTTCGGGGCCTCTCCCGGGAATTTCGTCATATGATGCAATGGATGCGATCGTTTTGAACCTGCGCCGATCCGGGCTCTTTCCCAACCTACGCCGAATTGCTCTCGTCGGACACTCGAGCGGGGGCCAGTTGGTTCAGCGCTGGAGCCTGCTCACACCATCAGAGGTGTGGCCGCCACCGCTGTCTTCGTCATCTCCGACCAATGTTCTGGAGGACTCGATTGATTCGGCCTCGAAACCAAAAATAAAACCGAGGAGATTATCCGGTACAATACCTGTTGCCCCTTCCAAGAACGACGATGCCGATGCCGATTCTTCCATCACTATCCATGCGGTTGTTGCCAACCCCAGCAACTATGTCTATTTTACGCCCTTGCGATTCTTCAACGACAATAACGGTAGCATCCAGAATAGAAACAGGAACAGGAAGAACAGCAATGAATATCTACGCCGTAGCAACAATCAGACCATGCAGAATACACCGTGGAGACTGCCTTTCGTACACCAAAATGGAAACGATGCGAATGACAACGACGACAACTCCTACGAGAACTGCCCCTTTTACAACCGTTGGGAGTACGGATTGGACGATGGTGGACCCATGGATGTTCCGTATCTGCAACGGGCAATAGCCAGAGATTCAAAATCCAGACTCGTTGACCGGTACTTGACGGAACGATCAGTCTCGTACCTCGTTGGGGACCTGGATCGCTGCGACGGGAACCAGCCTTGCGAGTCCCATGGACTCGAAACCACCTGTGCGGACGAACTCCAGGGAAGGAATCGGTACGAACGAAACGCTCGGTACATGGCATCGCTTCGGCTCGGCAGTGGTTTCCGTCGGCAGCGCGCGACCGATCACACCCGAGATGGTGGTTTTGCCAGAGCCGGCAGTTCCTCTTCTGCCCGGTGGACGAGCCGCCGAACCAATGCCAGTGATTTAATCAGCCACCATCATCGCCGGGCAGTCGTCCCAAACGTCGGGCACGACCATGCGATGATGTTCCAGAGCGAACAAGGCATCGAGGCGATCTATTATGCAAGAGACACGGAAGAAAAGCCTCGTATCCGGAGAAAATCCTTATCGGAGAAGACACTGTCCTGACATGGATTTCTTTCCATTCCAGTATGCTCGTGCACAACACGATGATCATCGTATCCTAAAGAGAAAAGGGGGGAAATGCGTTTGGTCTGGTGCTCTCCTCAGATAATCTAACCCATCTACCAATCGAGAGCTGTGACAGACAAAACCAGCAAGTGCCTCCCCCTCCCAAAAAAAAAAGAAGACAAGCGCTACAAGCAACGCAGCAAGGCTCGGCCCAGCTGGCTATTCCCATGGACTGGGAAATAAAGAAGCAATGCAATCTACTTCAGGAAGCAGAACCTAGTAAAATCTCTGATACCGAGAGATTGCTATTCAACCTTCAGAATGGAACTGCGCAAGTGCCACATTTAAAAGGATTGCTAATAGTTATTGCGAGTACTGGCAGGCTGGAGGAGACAGCAAGCACCTGACGGGTACTGTCGAGCCCCTTGGCTTTGTAGGAAGAAAAATCAATCGTTTTCTCAAAGTTACTGTATTAGTAACTATGCTTAAGGAATGTTGTCAATTTTTGGCATATGCATCCGAGGAATTCTGTATAATTTCTCTATTTCCTTGCTCTTCTTTGCAACTTGCATAGTAGAGGATTCGAGTGCGGTAGTAAAATTTGGCGGTGCTAGTATTTTGAATCAACGCTACATCTATACAGTTTGGGACAACCGCCCAGCGCGTTCAATCTGGGATGTCTGGTATTGGTCATTTGCATTTTGGCATGGAACTACGGGGGCCCATGGCAATCGAACAAACACTTAATTGGCATGCTGGCTCCCATACGGTGGCTAGTGCGTTAAAACCATCAGACGAGAGGATTGCGAAAACGACGCGGGAGATGCCGAGTTGAAATCCACGGTGCAAACCGAAGGTGCAAGGTCAAAAAGCACCCCCTCCACCCACCCAAGATCTTTCCCCGTGCAATACGACGGCGCTTACAAATAGATGAAACGGTTCACGTAGAAGTCGTTCGCTCTACTTCCCCATCGAACAAGAAGAAGAACCATTACTGCTCGCAAGAAGGACAGATATCATGCGCAAACAGGGACATTATGAAACGACAACCAATAGAATCTAGATCGGTAGTTGTATTTCTTTGTGGTACTGCATCATCAACAAAACTCAAAGCGTGAGTTCTGTTTTACTCTAAACTTGGAAAGTTGAGAGAGGGGAGAAGGGAAGTCGCTCTTGATTCTCTAAATTCAGAACGTGTCATACAATATGAGTAGGTCCGTATTCGTACCGGTAGATTCTGTAAGTCTGAAGAACAGTGATGGCCTACCGTACAGGTATTTTTTTGGAACGAAGGTACGGAAGGAGTACGAGAATGTAGTTCGAAGCAAGGGTCGAAGTTCGCTTATTTGCCACTCCTACCACAAAATGTGTGGTCCCATCATTTACTCGGGTGTACACCGGATCAGAAAAATAATGCGGGAGTGCGAACCCTTAAAAACTGCTGACAAAAACACTGTCTCGTAGCAGTTGCATGATCAATCTAATCGCAAGACGATTCGAAAAAGGCCATTCCAGTTTCCTGTTCCCAAGAACAAGGATCTCACATTACCCGCGAGCAGAACGGCTTCTCAATGGATACCGTATTTATATTTATTGTTTCATTATCATACCTATTTTTAATTTCTAAATTTATTTATTTTTTGTCTTTCTCCATGGCTATTTGTAGAGACCACCACCTACCACTACGGGTTTTGGTGCGTTGTAAGACGTGACAGCTTTTTTTCAGTACAAAATATACACAGCTCTACGTGTGGAACGATAGTCTTAATTTACATACCAGCACTAGTGGAGTCGGCTCATTTTGACACTGCGAGCAGCAACACAGGCATGCGTCAGTATTTGCCGGAACGGAAGAACGACGATCTTGGACCCACCAACACGAATCGCAAGAACACGGTATATCGGACAACCGAACAGGAATTTCAGGAAAGGAGAGAACGGCAGATCGAAGGAACAATCGAGTTGCTTGGATCGGGTTGGATTTGCTTGAATTCGATTCGATTGGGTTGGGTTGGGTTGGATTTGATTTGATTTGATTTGATTGATTTCGACTCGGTTTGGTTGGATGGGGTCGAATAGAATTGAATTGAACCGAATGGACCAGGAAGGAATTGTCTGCACTATCTTCTATTGAATGGGACTTGTTTCGACCCGACGGTAGCTCTTGCTCCAGAACGTCTTCACCGGTCGGTGGTTCTTATCCGTGCAAGCCACCAGAAGCAACCGAAATGGCCAGCCGCGGCGACGGGGACGGGGAGGAGGGGGACTCCCATCCCAAGCTCTATTATGCGGTCCGGAGGGGCCGGTTCGTGGACGGGGCAGTTTATTCGTCTTGGGAACAGGCCAAGAAGCAGATCCTGGGGTACCCACGGGCCACGTACATTGCGACTCCCACGATGGCCCAGGCCTCGAGGTACGTCAACGGCTTTGGGGAATTCTCCCGGGGGACCGCGGAAAGCGGGGGCGGGGCGGTTCCCGAAGGTAGCCAGCGCGATGGTGAATGTGGAAGCCAACGCGATGGCAAACGCAGGCGCAAAGGCAAAGGCAAACGCGACGACAAACGCGACGACAAACACGATGGTGGGTCTTCCGAAGGGAATCACGATTCTAGGCCGAGACGCAAGAGGCGCGGGGATAAGCGCTTTGGGGCAAAAACGAGGCGGCTCTTGCTGGACTACTACCGATTGTGCCTGGAGTCGGAAAAAGGTGGTTTGGGTGCCCCTCGGCAGCAGAAGAATCAGCGAAAGGCCCCCACCGTTGAGGCCTTTTTGAGGGAACGGGGGGTGTTGGAGCGCAAGTACGACATTTTCGTCAAGCACTGGCAGCGATCGGGCCTGCTTATCTGCAGCCACGAGTGCATTCCCTTTTGGGAGGCTGCTTGCCGGTACGATTTGTGGATCGCCGAGCGGTACGGAACGGAAGAGGGCGAAGCAGACGAGAACGAGAGCGACAGCGAGAACAAAAACCAGAGCCTCGGCGACGGCCGAGCGCTCCCCACAAAAGCCACACAGCGCAAGCGCGCCGCCCGCTGGAGGTCATCGCGGCAGAGGACCGCGGAGCAGCCGGTGGCGCGCGGGGCCCGGAGCGAAACCGACGCCGAATGCAGCATTGCGGCGACGACTACCACCAGCAGCGGGAGCAGCGATGCCTATTTCGATTCCTCTTGCGGCGGGTCTCCCGCGAAACAATCCGCTCGCAACGTGGCAAGAAAACGAAAATCGTCGTCAGCAAGAGCATCAACGAAAAGACAAACCACGAGAGCGCGGAAAGCTCCTCCCTCGTCGTCTTGCGCAACGGCGACTGCAACGGCTAAGCCGAAGCGATCGAAGCCAAAGCTCCCCCTCCAGCCCGACCTCGAGGCCCTCCTTTCCACGGCAACGGTTGCACCCGGGTACGGGAAAAACGACGACAAGGTCGAGGAACACGACGAAGAAGATTACGACGAGGAGTGGAACCGCCTGTACGAGCGGCTCGTTGCCTTCCACGGTTCCCACGGTCACTGCAATGTCCCCATGTCGGCCGACAAAGAGCTGGCCCACTGGGTCAGATACAACCATCGCCGGATGCTGCCCGGCTCTGGGAGAGGAGGCGCTCGGTCGCTCACACGGAGGGAGGAAAAGCTTCTGAACGAGCTGAGCTTCAACCCGCGCTACGAAAAGACCGTTTCCGAGTTTGGCCGGTACCTGGGGCTCCGCGTGGCCAAGCTCTTCGACGTGGTCGGAGACGAGGACGACGACGGCGACAAGAACAACAACAACAACAACAACAACGGCAGCGGGGACCGCACCAAGGCAATCCGGATCGAAAGAAAGCCTTTCTTTGGGACGGTTTGCCGCATCTCCAGCGTCTCCAACCGTGTAAGTCCTTTTGCTCGGATTGAATCGATTTGATTCGATTCGATTCTCTCCAGTGTTTGTTCGATGTGTGCATTCAATACGTGCTTGTACTGCATTGTTTTGCGTTTGTTTTGCATCGCATTCTTCCAATCAGCCCCGTGTCTTGTCCCTCTTTTTTGTCTCGGCGTGTTCCCCCCGCTTCCGCGTCGTGCTGCACACCGGACCAAACCCAACCGAACTGTCTAGTACCTGCGGGTCCAGTACGATGACGGAGACAGCGAAGACTACGACGAGGCCTGTCTGGGAGAGGGGCTTCGGGTCTATGCACTGCACAAGCACGATGATCCACTCTTCCACAAACAATCCACAGGCAACGTCACCAAGGAGAACAACGACAACAACAACAACAACAACAACAACAACAAGGGCACGAACATGGGCAAGGAAAACAGCACCACCACCAACAACAATGCGTCTCTCGTGAGTAGCAGCAGCAGTAGCAACAGTAGCAAAAGCCTCGGAAAGGAAGGAAACCCAGGCCAAAATGACGGATTAAAACCAGTTGCAGAAAAAAGCAACGGAGAGGGCATAGTTTCTCTGGTGAGTAGCAGCAGCGTCCGAAAGGAAGGAAGGCCCGACCAAAATGCAAACCCGCTGAAAGAAACACGCAACGAAGAAGGCGTTGCTTCTTGCAGCAGCAAAGTCAGCAGCCTTCGGAAGGAAGGCAGCCCCGACCAAAATACCCGGGCAACTCCAGAGAAGAAGATGGCTTTCGAGAAAGAAGCCATAGCGGGCGATTCCGTTCGCGTCGGCGGCAGTGATGGCAACAAGAGCCCCGGTTCACGCCCTAGTGGTGAACATCAACAACAACAGCACCAGCCGGACAAACATTTCGATGGAACGAATGGGCTGCAACAGCAAGAACAAGAACAACAACCGGACCAAAAATCTGACGGATCGCTAGAGACCGCAGCAGATCCGGAACCACCAACCCTCGGCACCGAAGAAGCCGTTGGGGAGACCAACGGGACCAGTCCTGGCACTAGCGACAACGAAAGCAGACCTCAAGGCGGCGATCGGTCAGGCGCCGACGCCGATGGCAGCACCATCGATAACGACGACGACAGCGACGTGGTGTTCGTCGAGGTGGTGAGACCCTACGGGATCACAACCAGCTTTGGCCATGATTTGGTCGTCACGAAATCGGAGGTTTTCGATTTTTGACAAACAGGGCACAAGCGGGCAGCAACGCTGACCGAATGTGGCGATCGAACGGAAGACTACCAAAGCCTCGTGACAAGAAGGGGGAGGGGGAACGACACGAAAGCAATCCATATCGAACGAGTAACTGCATCGCACCGGTGCAGTTTGATGGAGGGGCCATTCATAGCTTCAACTTGGTAATCTACAATTTCTATAACGGTTGTACGTTTCGACGAGCAATGTTTTTTTCAGTAAATACCGTCTGCACCATTCAAGCAAACAGTGATTCTGTAATGGGGACCCAAACACATCTACATGCAATTTCGAAATGATTTCACGCAAGGACTCCCCTTCTCAATCAATAGTAGTGATGCACATTGCAGATTTACTAGAATGAGTACGATTCAGAACGATGCACTAGTACGAGATAGAATTCGCAACCTATCTTTTTTAGGTAAAGGCTGTAGACAAGCATCACGGCAACGACAGCATCGGGCCTTTTGTTCTGAAACGAACGAGCATGCTCCTTTTGATTACTTAGTCTTCTCGTCGCTGGTGCTGTTCGTACCGTTTTCCGCCCTTGTTTTCATCAGGTCGAAGAGGGAGGACCACTTGTCCATCAGAACCGAAATATCCTGTTCCATCAGCGTCCCACAACCCCCCCACACAAGCCGATCCGGGATGCTCTCGAACTCGTCCCCAACATATTTCACTACCTTGAACCCAGCGTACCGGTAGTACCGAACTAGGCGCTTGTGCTGAAACTCCTCGTCGTCGATCGCTAGGAACTCTGCGATTGTTCGGGGCTTCCGTCCCCTAGACTCTTCTTCCGCGGTGGCGTGCAACAGACAGCGGTATCCCATCAGGAGGCCAAGGCCGATGGAGATGCCGCCAAACTCGAGGCTCCCCGGTCGGGCCCTCCGGACTCGGTCCATCACCGGCTGGAAAATCTCCATCTTGTCGATGTGCAACAGCTCGGGCTGGGTCGGCCGCAAAAAGCCCTCAACGTAGCCCATGATGATAGACTCGTCGTGCTTCGCCCGTGCCACAGCGCGGTACCCCGGTCCGAAGGTGGTCAGGGAGACCACCACGCCGACCGAGTCCGCAAAGTCTTCCATTTCCTGCAGGGTCCATCGTTCGCTGGTGGATGCGTCGTCAACCGCCGTTGCTCTTGTTTGGTAACTGTCCACAAAAGGCCGAAGTGGAGGGGAGTGCCTCGTGCTAGCGGGAAGATGCGCTGCTGTCCCTGTCGTCGTCGTTGTAAGTGCCGACACAGAAGGGATAACGGACGCCGGAAACGATGGCAACGCCAACAACATCACTACCAGCGTCGTCATCGTGTGCAACAATCGATCGAATTCTTTCCAGTTGCCACTGTAACATTTGCGACACGGAGCTTGTCGTAATTCCACAAGCCCAGTCGATTCGTGCGGGTCCGGGTGAATCCTCATGGCAAGGACTTGTTGTCTCGGTTTCCTCTCTATGTCCGCAAACCAGCACCTGATATATTTTTACCGATTGCTTTCAGGTGAACTGTTTCCTTCACGGTTTAGTCCCTTGTTTCTGTGTGGTATTTTCGCGTAAACGGCAATTGCTTTGTTAAGCCAGCTGTGCGTTCTCAATGGCAAAGATCACTTGCTCGGTGCCGAATCGAAGCTTCGACATCAAATCATTCTAATGATCGTCATTTCGATGATGATGTTGTTCGTTGTTTTACACATGGCATGAAGAAACCGAAAAATCTCGTCTGAGTGACGATTGAACTGAATTTCATTATCATCGTGCGAAAGCAGACCTATCCGACTCCTTCGATTTAAAAGAGTCAAAAGTCAAACCACTACGAGTACTGGTACTCGTACTCGTACCAAACACCAAAACCACAAACCACAGTGATTTCTGTGTCGTACGTAACAATCGTACGTAATATGGTACTCTTACATACATCGTGATATTGTATACTTCTAATACATAAGAGGTACTGTACATTACCGTAGTAGGATTACAAACTAGAATTAATACTTCTAGTGATTCTAGTGATAGAAGCTACTACTAGCAATACTGAAATAAGGAAAATGGCACCGACTGGGCATTTGAATGAGATGTATTCTTATGCAAAAATCAAAAATCAAGTACTGGATTTGAAGTGTTACGGCACTGGTGTAAACTTCTGTTATGGGATTTGAGTCTTGGTGCGGGATGAACAAGGCTCATCTCGCAGCGGGAGGAGTCGTTTAACTTTCGTCGTCACCCTCGTCGTCGCCATCCTCATCGAGTGACGGGGCCCAGAATGGATGCGGTCGTTCCTTGCCGTCTTGGTGCTTCCCGCCATAGATCGTCCTCCGTTCGTTGATGACCCGCCCCGTCCCACGGGGGAATTGGTCCTTTTCGATCGGCTGGAGGTACATCCGAAAGTTGTTTCGCACACTCCTGAAAATTTCCGGAGCGGACTCCTCGAGCGAAAAGATGTTGATGTCGAGGCGGGAGTCCCCATCCCACACACAAAGAATGGTTCCCTCTGACCAGGTGGCAAGCACAATGGCGCCCTCCCCCACGTCGTAGGAATCCACCACTATCTGATCTTCGTCGTCGTTCTCCCATTCGTCCACCAACTCTCCGAGGGCTCTTTGTAGAAGATCGACCACCATCGACATGAGTTTTTCCCTGGTATATTCAAAGGGAAGCTCTAGCTTGTTAATAGCTTGCAATCCCAGGGGCTCCTGCGATTCCCACTGCTCTAGCGCCGTGGTAGAATCGTAATCGTCCGTCGTGGCATTCTTAAAGTCTATCGTTGTGTTTTTTCTCTTTTCCAATACTGTCTGGATCTCGCGTTGATTCGTAGCATCGTCCTCGGATACAGAATCTTGGCCGAACACACTTTTCTTTTCCGGAGGCCCAATCTTGGGGTTGTTGTCGTTTTCTTCCACCCCATATATACCGGCCGTGATGACCCGATAGACAGAATGCTCTTCGCTTCCAAGTGCCGCGAGCAGCTTTTTCTTCACCAATTCTACCCGGTGTGCGCTTTTCCAGAGCTGCACATCAATGGCACAGAATTTTTCATCGGCAAAACATCGGGCGGTGACGCAACCTTCCTCGAGAAGCGACACGAGCGTAAATCCGTCGAGTAGTTCGCGATCGAACGACTCGGTGATCGTGAATCCAACCGCCCCGAGTTGTTCTTGGATGATTTCCTGGACGCTCGACGGGACGTCTAGGTCGATCGAAATCTCTTCCGCTTCGATGATCATGACCAATCCAATAACGTTGGGAGAATTCGCAGATTCGTCGCTAGGATCATCCCCGTCCAACTCTTCGTCATCTTCGGCCTCCGTTGCCTTCCCCGACGTGTGCCACGTGTCGAATTGCGCTTGGAAGTCGTCGACGCCTCCGAGATAAAAGTTCGAGAGCTTGTGATCCCAGGGTTGTTTCGTTGAAAAATCGACGGCATTGCTCCCCATGACAAATGTTTGGAGACAGTAGACCGGAACGTCGTAGTACACAACATCCGTTATGTGGTTAGTAAATTTCGTCGTATCCGTGCTGCCGGGGACGTATCCCTCGTCCTCGTTTTTCACAATGATCCCGTTTGGTTTCATCAGCATCATTGCGGCTTCCATGATCGTGACGTCGTCCGTCACCTGGAGACTTTCCGCAACTTCGGATAAAATATCGACGACCACCAGATCAAAGGTCCCGTAGTACTCCGTTTGGAGTGCGTTCAAAGCTACGGCGGCGTCGCCAAACCACCACTCGACCTTGTCGTTGTGAAAGTGGGGCTGCGTCCCCATGTGTGCAAAGGACGACCGCACCACGTGCTGGTCCAGCTCCAGTCCGACCACCAGTTCCAGCTCGTCGTATTTCAGCACCTCGTGCAGCACCATGGAATCTCCTCCGCCGATGAAAAGAACTCGTTCCACCTTTTCCAAAAAGTAAGCAGGGTAGTGAACAAAGACTTCATGGTAGTGCGGGCGATTGCTAATGCACGCGTGCAGGTATTCTTCCAGGAACAAGCAAACGTCCTTCTTTTTTTCGTTGGAATAATAGTCGACGCCTTGGTGGCTTGAATACGAGCCATGCGTAAGTTTCCACCCGTCTTCTTCGGCGTAGAGAGCCTCAAAGTCCTCGCACGCCATGAACTGATCGCCCGGGTTTTCTTCGGGGGCCGGCAGCACGTCCATTGCCTTTTGGATGGCACCAACGGCGGCTTCGTACGCAACGAGCAGCGACCGATAGTACTTCGCAACGGTCTCTCGCTCGCCGGGAGGCAGGCTTCCGGTAGTCTCGGCGACGAGCGGCTCGAGTTCTGCGATCCGGGTCTGCTCCTTCTGCAGGTGCTCCACAACAAAGCCAAAAATGAGGGGCATGCTAGGATCGATCCAGCGCACTTCGTACCTGCTACCGTCTCTGACTTCCAGGACATCAAAGGATATCTCGTCGGGGACGTTGTTAGCATCTGTATTGGAACGCCTCTGGGGAACGGGCAGGACCCAGCGCTGCGGATAGTCTTCCACAAATCCAAAATTCCGCAAGAGTTCCGGCGTGCTGTGCTTGGTATCCCGGTCCCGTCCCATGTAGTCGAGAAAGAGTTCTTCGCCCTTGCCAATGTTTCTGGTGGCATAGATTTCGACGGCACCCGGGTCCTCCGATTCGTCGTCGTCGTCGTCGTCTCCCTCTGTTTCCTCCGAAACCACTCTCTTCAAAACGTTGTGCTCGCTACTGTGGTTGATCATGTCCATCAGGGGGATCAAATCTTCGTCCCACGAGCGGCTTAGGGTGGTTGCGTACGCGAATTCGATTTTTTGTCGAATGGTTTCCTCGGCGAATTCGGTTCTTTCGTCGTCGTCCAGACAATCGCGGAGGTACGAAACATCGGAAATGTCTCTGGGCGCCAGGTTCGGTCCGTGAATCGTTTTCAGGAGGCCCCTGCCGGCGGGCGACCACATCGATGGAATCGGTCCGAGGCTGTCCCTGCCGTGAATGTAGTCCAGGTACGGTGCGTACTCGGATTGGTTGTCCCCCCCGTCTCCCTCTTGCAGAAGCGTCATCGTGCCATCACACCTGTCGGTGTCCGATTCTGTAATCGCACGCACGCACCCACCAGCCAAACAAAGAAAAGAAGGCAACCGGATCGTGAGAACGAGCGATTACAAAATCGATCCATCCACCATTCCGTCCTCCGCATTCGAAAGGCCCTAGCCGACGGAAAAACCGTCGTGTTGCTTTCAATGTACCTACCGTCCGAAAAGACAAGAGAAACCGGAACCCGAATCAGGACATCACCTTTCCGGATGTCGTCGGTGGCTACTATTCCCAAATTTGGATTGGCCAAACACCCCTCGCCCTCCTCGCTCGAATCGACCGACTGGATGGCAATCCTGGTCCGATCAAATTCTCCGCCATTCGATACGAGCCAGTCTATCTGATCGATGGCCAGGTCCAGCAGGCTTCTGTTTGCACCCTGGTCGTGGCTGTCGTTGGAAAGAACGGTGACTTCTCCTGTGGGATCAATGACCTTCTCCGTTAGCGAGGAGACGGTGCCCAAATGGCCGCTGGCTATCAGCAGGACCAACGGCATCCATGACAGAATCCTGATGGTCGAATTCGTCTTCGTTGTCGTGGTCGTCGTCTTCATTGGTATCGCGCCGTGCGTTGCATGGAAATTTCTGGGTTAGACGTTCTTGGCTTCCGTGTCCTCGAGATTTTTTATAAGATTTGTTAGTCGATTGTCTTGGCTCCTCTTGCGTTGGATTGGGGGGGCAAGTTTTTGTTTTGTGTCATTGTTGAGTGTTGTCGTAGTCATTGCCAATTGAAAAAAATTGATATTTCCGGCTATCATTTATTGCTTTTCTCAACGGCACACGTCTCGTCATACGTACCGGTAAGAGTACCGCGCTATCCTAACGTACAGTGATGTAGCGTACGGTATGCAAATTAAGTACTTCGTAGTACGAACTGTATCTTGGATTTTCGTCGGAACTCATGCGACGAAAGGCGATGGAACGAACCAAAAGCAGGCTCCACGTACAAACAATAAGTAAATCCGAAATGCACGTGCCAAAACAAAACCTGAAACGTAAACAGGCCCGTGGAGAAAGCATGCGAGTCTTTTTTGCAACACTACACACAAACATCTGCTTTGCATCTCGATTCCTAGTGCATACAGAACGGCAGCTCCCATCGCACCTCTACCTCAATCCAGCGAAGCAAGAATGAATACTACATACATTCAAGGGATTCCGTGGCCTCATCATCACCGTCGGTCGCTGCTGATCCTTTTCGTTGCGACCACAGCAGGATGAGGATATTGTTCTTCCACCCAACTCATGCCAATGGTGTTGGTGTCGTTCCCATGTGAATTTGGCAGGAGGACAAGAAGGACAAGAAGCAATCACACCTTTTCTTATTTGATCAGATAGTGGCACTACTACTGCCTATTAGTACTAGCAGCAGTGAAGAAGGTTCTTGTTGTACTACTATTAGTACTAGTAGTAGTACATACTACTACTGCTAGTAGTACTACTACTATCTAGTACTAAAATGATGTACTGCTACTACTATTGTGGTGATCTTCTTGTAGTACTATCTACTAGTATAGTATATTGTGATCACATAGGTTTTTACTGCTCTGTGCATCAATAGTAGTATTTGTACTAGTAGTAGTACTAGTAGTAGGAATGGGTCATTGTCAATAACATTTAGTAGTATCTGTGTCAATTTTTACTGATCAGCTGCTCTTTTAATGTATCTCAAATACTACAAAGATCATACTGGTTCTTGTCGTGGGCTCACGACAACCAAGATCTGTGTAGTTGACATAAATATTTATTGCAATCCCTGAATTATAATTTTCAGTCTTGTGAGTGGGTGTGCCCTAAAGACAGGACTCACTTGGCGCCAAACTGAAAATTTTTATCTTCCTTGTTCTTAAAAGAACAAGCATATCTTTGTTTCCCCTCAAGAAGAACAGAACAAATGCAACACTAGGCAAAACACATTCAACAAAGACAAGGTAAACCAAACAATACATCACCAAAAAAGAGGAGGAAGAGGGGGAGTGTGCTAAACATGATAGGAGGGGGGGACTCCTCTGACATCAACTCATCCTCTGACTAGGATTTGGAATAATCCCATGGTTAATCCCTTGGTGGTTATTAATTACAATTACTAATACAAACTACTGTTTGCTGATTGCTGTTTGCTGTTTGCTGTTTGCTGTTTGCTGTTTGCTGTTTGCTGTTTGCTGTTTGCTGTTTGTTGTTTCTGTTTGCTGTTTGCTGTTTGCTGTTTGCTGTTTGCTGTTTGCTGTTTGCTGTTTGCTGTTTGCTGTTTGCTGTTTGCCGTTTGCCATTTGCCATTTGCCATTTGCCATTTGCCATTTGCCATTTGCC